AGGATCCCATCTGCTTCCATGTAAGGAGGAAGAGAAGGCTTGCCTGTTCCCTGCAGTGGTCCTTGGGGGCTGCTTAACCTCTGACAGGAGGAACATAAGTGGCACAAGAAGCCAGTTAGAGGGGGATTTCCTTTGAGCAGAGCAGACATCAACTGGGAACATGGAACATCCTTCATTAAAATGAACTAGTTCCAAGTCTGCCTAAAATAACATCTTTCAAGAGCTGGCAACCCCATGCTTGGTGTCTCAAGAAAGGTCATGCAGCCTGGTTCAATGGTGCCCATGGCACATCCCAAAATGCTGATTCAGATTTCCAGAGCTGTCTTGACAAGTTCTCAGAAGTGCTGCAGAACTTCCCCAGCAGTGCATCAGGCTGGGATTTCCAAAGGATTTAGGGCAACAGGATTCAGACATCTGTGAAAATCTCTGCCAAACATCTCAAAATGTGATGAAGAACATATTTGCAGCTATCTCAAGATGGTTTGCCTTTCCAAAAGCTTCTTCTGAACAACGGTCTGTCCCATGGTACTTCCCTGGCAATTCACAATGCCATGAGAGTTCTGATTTTTCTTGAAGTTCATTAGGAAGCATGTCAGAATCATAGAGTCCTAGAATGGTTTGGGTTTGAAGGCACCTTAATGCTTGTTCAGTTACAAACACCTGCCATGGGGGTGAACCTTCCACTAGAGCAGATTGCTCCAAGCCCCATCCAACCTGGCCTTGAACACTGCCAGGGATGGGGCAGCCACAGCTTCTATGGCAACCTGTGCCAGCGCCTCAGCACCCTCATAGTGAAGAATCTGTTTTCATTCTCAAATAACTTTGTATGTGATTCCTCCTTAAAGAATCAGGAAAACAAGCAAACAATCAGAATTCCCAAAAGAACCTCTCTACCTGGAAAAGGGTGAAAATCTCTCCCCCTCCTGCGTGCAAAGCTTTTCCTCTAATTTTGCAGGGAATGACTCAGGAGTGTTGAATGCCTGGGGCTCATAGTAGTGCAGACACAACTGCAAAACAAGGCTTGTGGCTGTGAACTTCTCATTACTGGCAAACTGCAACAGTTCAGGTAGACCAAACCAAGTAACATAATCGCTGGATAGCTAGAGAAAGAAAATGCTTTTTTCTGCTTTGATGACACTGAACAATATTTTAGGTAAGACTGGGAGAAGGGAATTTCCATGGAGAGTGCCAAGGATCTAATTAATGCCCAGTCATGGCCCATTTATACACAATGAAATTCATTCCTACATTGCGAGCCACATAAAGTTACGTACCACTGAAGTCACTGTTAACAGGCAGAAGGAATGGATTTCATTTAAAAAGCATGTTCCAGATTCCTGGATGAGACACTCAAGAGTGAATGAAGCACTGTGCAGCAAAGCCTCTGAAATGAATTTTGCTGTGACCTAACAAAAACCACAGACTTGAAATTGTGATGATTCAGAAATTTTCAGCTTGCAAGAGGAGTTCTTGCAAAATATTTGGGAACTGCAGGAAGAGCTTAATGGTCTCCCTGTGTCAAGGAGAGGAATCCTGACCTCTTGTCTTTATGGTTCTTGTTCCTCTGAGTGATACTTTTAGGAGGGGATGATTAAGCCCATGTTGCTGAAAGAATAACAAGTGACCTAGCTTGGTCCTTTCTGTACTGATTCATCTTCCCACTTTGCTGTTGGAATTTGCAAGAGAATGGTTACAGGGACAGACTGTGCTCGTAGTCACACATGTAGCCCCCCATGAGTGTGTGCAGTAAAGGAAATCAAGTCGATCCAGTGGAGATGTTTATCTGCAAAGCAACACAACAGAGCAACAATAGTCAGAGAACCTTATAAGGGTGTGTGCCTGTTCTAACCAAGAGTTAAAAAGTTAGGATTTCAGCAGAAGAAAACCATGAATCAGAATACCCATGGCTAAGGCAGAGGTTTAGGACATTCTTAATCCTTATTTGGATGCAAAAACCACAGAAGGGTGGTTATAAATTCAAACTGATCTCATCCTAAGAAAGTCTTCAGGTGAATCTTCTTGCTCTTCCATGCTCTGTTAGCTCAAGGGGGGAACTGACAGCAGAACAGACAAAGGAGTCAACAACCATTTCCCAAAATTGATAAGAGACATCTCAGAAAGTCTAACAGCATGCAATATGACAATTACTACATGTTAGTGTCATAATTACTGTCAGATTCATTTAGAAGTGAAACCAGGCTGTCCCAAGTGGTGTTGAAATAGGACTTGTAAGACTGTTTCTGGCTGCTAACAAATAATGGCTATGAAAGAAACTAATTTAGCAATGTTGAAAATGATCATTGTGTTTTGTGTGCTTCCATTAACGTTTTCTTAAACGAGAATCTTACGTTTGTCCCTGTGTACATTTGTACGCAGCATTTGTGTAACTAATGCCATGGAAAGCATGTGACACAGTCACATACTTGCTAACACTGTATTTCTCATTCAATTTTCAGAGTGAATTCCATTTTCAGGTTTGTGTAAATACTTAGAACTGTCCCTGAAGACCTAGGTGCAGTGCAAGCTTAACATGAACTGGACTTGAAGCAGCCATGGGAAATGAGGTCCATGTCCATCATTTAGCCCTCATGAGAAGTGTGTCAAGTATACAAACCTTTTAAATGACATTTTAAAACAGTTGCTAAAAGCATGCTGGAAATGGGGGTCACCAAAAGCAGCATCCTGGAAACGCATCTAAAAGTCTTTTTTCCTGGGAGCAGGGACTCTTGTCATCCAATGCCAAGACTTACAGAGGTTATAAACTCCCTGGAGAACACTTGGGCTCTGTTTGCACTGCATCTAGCACCCACAGGCTCTTTCTCCACAGTGAGGACTGCTGGTTGCTTCCTCATGTTTGCTCATTCCACCATAGCCTGTTCTTATGGATTACCTCTACTCTTACATTTTAAGCAGGTTTCCTCTGGCATTTTTTATTTATAATCTGCCTATTTATAATCTTCCTATACTTGAAGACTCCTCGTTACCTTTTCCATGTCAGCTGAGCTTAACAGGAGGACATGTTTGCATACTGAGCAGAAGAAACTGAACTGAAAATTTGACCAAGACCTATACACAGTGACTGGATAAAATAGCCTAAAATTGCCTCCTCACTGCACATACAAGTTTCCTGGAAGGAAAACTCTTCTCTTGCACTGATTTCCACTCAGTAATGCTTCCTTTGGAGCAGGATAGGTAAAGTAGACCCCAGTTACAAAGAGTCATACAGCATCATTTTCTGACAATGTGCCCTCCACCTTGTTTTTATCAGAGAATTCCAGATATGTCATAAGCTGGAATTTGAAGATGATGCTTCCTATCTTAGGTCGCAGAATAGCAGGAACACTTTCTGAAAGCAGGTTCTCATTTTAAGAAACCAGATATTTGCTAGTTTATGATGATGTTCACTGCTCCAAAATCTAATGCTCTCTCTTGCTATGGTCACCTTAGTACTGTGATTATTTTGAGAAGTGTCTGGTAACTCAACAATCACAAAAAACTGCAGCACAGTACATCTAAAAATAAAAACTAGGAGAGATGGGATTGAGCTCACCTCAATTGCAAGCTCAGGTTTCAGTTTCCAGTAAGTTTTCAGCAGGGAAGCTTGTGTTAATGTATCTGTGGGCACTCCTCATAGAGGAATAGAAATTTCTTTGAAAACAGCTGCCTGACATCACAACTATGTGCTTTCCTGGCACAAAGCAGGTGCTGGATCTGTACACCACCTACTGAAAGAGTCTTCATCCCAAGTGAGATATTACTGCTTGTATTTCCATAGAGATAATACAATTGTTTGACAGTAAGTGGAAATAAGAGCTTGGAGCTCAACTTGATGAAGAACTCTTATGGAGACCTGTGGATATTCAGTTTAAGATGTCTGGAAACACTGTAGTATACTCCACACACACATTTTTCTGGAGAGTTGCTTTAACACATCAGGAATCACATCAGACTTCTAGATTAATAATCCCAAGGGTAACGGTTGGACTTGGTGAGTTTAAAGGTCTTTTCCAACCTAGAATCAATTCTATGATTCTATGATTCTATGCCTGAGGGTCAGGAAGATGGTTAGCAATATGACCTTCCTATATGATCTGAACTTGAGTGTTGGTGCAGGCACTGGACCAGGATGGGGCACACCATTCTTTGCTCACTAGCAGCTTCCACAATGGCAGTGCACGCTCTCTCCTCTCCTTCAAACAATGGAAAAGAGACACCCCCAAACAGTAGAGATGTCTATGAGAAGACAGGGGAAAGACAATGCCAGAAATTGTATTCAGCAGGGTTACATTAGATCATCACACTGAAGGGGTGACTTAAAATGGGGTCAAATCCTAGCATTTCTTTTTTTTTTTTTCTCTTTTATTTTGTTCTCAGAACTGATCTTGGGCAGCAAGAAATAAAGTCAGAGAAAGAGGCTGTTATATTTTTTTGAACAGAATGTAACCAATCCGGATTTTTCTTTCCAAGTGAGGTATGAAACATATTAACCTTGAGTCACTAGGAGATAAAGCGTCACTTTGGGCTTCTCATTTCCAACACTGTACCTATGTTACTCCTCACCTTCTCCCTTCATGCAGAACATTATTCCTCCCGAATGGAGCGGTATCAACTTACAGGCAGCGTAGCTCAGAGAAAGTTTGTCTCCCCCTAAAAAAAAGCCATTTTGTTAAGCCAAATGTTCTACAAAATGGCACGACCGCCTTGCAGTCAGCTCTCCTTACGGGGACGGGCATTCCACCCAGGACGGGCTCCCTTTGCAGCCCAGAACCGACCCGCCCGCTTCGGCTCGGCTAAGCTCTTTGTGGCGGCCGGGTCGGGTCGCCTGCTCTCGACAGGGCGGTGGCAGCCCCCGCCCGGCCCCCGGCGACTCCGAGGCCAATGGGCGCCGGGGCGGCAACGGGCTCCCCACCTCCCGCGCCGCCCGCCCTATATAGCGCCCGGGCGGCGCCGCTGTCCCGTTCTTCGGGCTGCCTGCGAGCGGCGCCGCTGGCCGTGCCGTGCCGCGCCGCGCCAGGATGCCGTGCCGCGCCAGGATGCCGTGCCGCGCAGTGTGGCGGCTGGCGCTGCTCGCTCTCTGCTTGGGGGCTGCAGCGGCAGGGGGTGGTGGCGGCGGCGGACAGCGCCGCGGAGGCGGTGGCAAGAGCCGGCGGCAGGCGCAGACCACCTCGGTACCTCAGGGCACTCCCGCGCAGGGAAAGCGTGAGTACCACGCCGGGATGGGGTCCCGCAGGCAGGGTATGGAGGGGGGCCGGGCCCGGCCCCGCTGGGTGACCCCCAGGTGGTTTTTTCTGGCTCCGCAGCTCGGCCCGTTGGTACCCGGAGGGACCGCACACGTGCGAGGCTGTGGCGCGGCAGCCGATGCCCGCTGCAGGCGCGGTTTGCCTGTGCCGTGCCGCTGCTCTCCCTTACCTCTGCCTCCATAACGTCGAACTTTTCTTTCTCTTCTCCCCCCTGCTTCTCCTTTTCTTCCCCTTCCCCCCTCGCCCAGAGACGTGTTATGACAATGGAAGATACTATCAGATAAACCAGCAGTGGGAGCGCATTTATCTGGGAAACACGCTGGTCTGTACCTGCTATGGTGGAAGCAGAGGGTTTAACTGCGAAAGCAAGCCTGAACGTAAGTTGGTGGTCTCTTTTGTCAGCACCAAGACCTCAGCATGGCTTTTGATGCCGAGTAAGCTAAGCCTTGTACCGAGATATAGCTGGCAGACGGTTTTTTCAGCTGAAGTTTGGTACTTAGGGTCAGTAATGGATCTACACTCAATTACACTGAAGATCTGGCTTGGGATTTAAGAAATGCTTTTCATTAGTGATGGGCCTGCCAGCAGAACTCTGAGCCAAACATCACTCATCCCTCTGGAGGATTGGATCTAAACATTAATTTTGGAGCCAACCTCTTCTTTATAATGAACTGAACTGACTCCTGGACTCGCATGGGGAAGTTCAAATCTGGAGTCACTTTGCAGCTCTGGCTCTGTGCTGTTTGATTGCTTCACCCCAACTTTTCATAGCTGTACAGTGTCGTCAGCTTGTTTAAAAATATTTCAGCTTACAGCTTTCCACAGCCCCCCCCCTCCCCAGCCGTGCTGTGAGCTTTCTATAATTGAGTGTAAAATGAGATTGTTTAGTCTTCTGCAGGAAAAGCTTAGGTAACACAAAGAACTCTAAATGCAACGTCTGCTGGAAGGTGCATCTCCCTGGGATACAATGTAGTTTAGATTATCAGATGCAATCTGTCTGTATTTATTTGTCTGAAGCCACTGGTTTGCCATAACTCCTTTATGTTGCTGTAGAGATATGAGAGAGAAAAACTGGTTCCTGGCTGATAGTGTTCATGTAAGACAGATGGGAGAGTCCCAGCAATCTGTTTTGCAAGGCTTGTGTGCTGCCTGCCTCACAGCTAGAGTATGTTAAGGAGTACTCAGTCTCCTTACTCCTCCATAGAACAGGGTTCAATTTACCTTTCCTCCCCCTGCAAGGATTCCCAGGTTTTACAGCTTTACAGTCCAATAGCAAGTTTCCTGTATGACACAGTTAACTTTATCTTTCCAGAGGTGAAGAAGGTTGTTCTGTTGCAGATCTCAAAGTTTGGTGGCAGCATTGACATAATGATTCAGTAGTCAATTTTTCATGCACGAGTGTGAACAACTCACAAGTAGTGCTGTTGACTTTGGAACTGCTGTAGATTTTGGGATTAATACACTCTATCTTTTGCCAAGTCAGAATGAGGATTAACATGACAAAGCACACAGCTTCTATGGGATGTTTGCTCCCTCACATCTTTGGTTCTGTTGCAGTTCAAACAGCTGGGATTGATGTTTTCAGGGCATGCCTGCCACATGCCATGTTCAACTTCTTGCCCTCTGGGGGAGGGAAGATGGGCTATTCAGCATCATGGGGACCTTGAGGGGGTGAATTTCACCCAACTTCCTCTCCTGTTCCATCCCAGGAAGAAATAGGAGATTGATATGCATTTTTTCCCAGGAAAAAAAAAAGCATCTGTGTGAGGAGGTGAGGAATGTGTGTTTCCATTGACTGTGTTACTAGCATGGTTACATGAAGCTGATTTTTCTCCCCTCACAGCTGAAGAAACTTGTTTTGACAAATACACTGGATCCACTTACCGAGTAGGGGAGACTTACGAGCGCCCCAAGGACTCCATGATCTGGGACTGTACTTGCATTGGAGCTGGACGTGGGAGAATCAGCTGCACCATTGCCAGTATGTAACCAAGAGCCTATTACAAGAGCTATTGTTCCTTAGTATCATGTTTTCCAGGGCAACTTACACAGTGTTCCAGATGGCCATTAACGAATCTTTGGGGGTTTTGATCCAAAGACTTAAAATCTTGGAATTGAAATTCTTTGCCCCACGTACAGACAGTTGCACAACCAAATTCCTCTTTTATTTGAGAGGTAAAGGGCTCTGTGTGAAAACGTAGGCGAAAAATTCATGTTAGTGTCCAGCCAGTGTACAGGTTAGTACATTTACTATATACAAGAGTGTGTTACATCTTCACAGGTGAGTTTATGAAAACAGTCTCTTTGACTGGGAAAAAAAAAACAAGTGAGAGTCTGCTCTGCAGCTGGTGACAAGCATGCCAACATTTGTCCCTGATGGAACCGGGATTTGACATCCAGACACCAGCTCAGTGTGTTTCTGCAATTCCATTTTGCCAGCTGGCCCCTTACCTTCCTCTTGTTCCTTCTCTTCCCTTGATTCTTTATCCCCAGCTCTGCCTTTCATGTCTCTGTATGGAATCCTTTCCTTACTGAGTCGGTGAATTGTTCACCATTTCCCTCCAGTTCACAATTAGACTTTCTATGAGCACAGATGTAGATCACCGTGTGTCAGGACACTGAGATCTCAAAGTCCCTGAGGCACTTTTGAGAAAAGTCTTGTTCGTAAAAGTACCCAGATTCTTGTTTTAAAATACACATTCTGATCATATCAGCATTGCCACAGAGGACTCGGAAGCCAGCCATCATTATGGCATGGACAAAATGTACTGAATTTAACAAGTAGAGCTGAAGCCCTTCTGAATTTAATGGCCTTTTTGGGCAGGGATGATAAGCATTGTAAGGAAAGAAAGTCAGCAAGGAAACTGCAAACATAAAAGCAGTCTCATTTCCTCATCATCAACCTGGTTTAGAGCTGACTGGATGGTCTCACTGACTGTCATTGGCTTCAAATCAATCTTTGTAACTCTTAGATTCCCTACTTTCACAAATGAGCCAATGAAACATTTTAGTGTCTCCTAATAAATGACTGGATATGTGTTCCTCCTTTTTTTGTCATCTTGGAAGAAAATCCTGTGTTTGCAAACTGCCCTTCTCCATATTTTTCCCTGCCTGAGCCTTCACCTCAGGGTTGTGAGCAGTGGCAGGCTGGGAAGCTGCCTTTCCAAAGGGTGGCATTTCCAAATCCAAAAGAACCAATGTCTGACTGGGATGTCACACCAAGCACCTCCTACATGCTATTTAGGAATGGACACAGAGCTCTAAGCCCAAGAGGTACTACTCAGAACAAGGTGGAGGCAAACCCTCCCTCACCAGCCCTCAGGCTGAGGGAGAAACAGCACCTCCTTAGGCTGTGGTATTCTGCTTTCACCAGCCAGGTCTTGGCTGTGGCTTGAAACATGGAGGGGGTTAGACGAAGAGAGAGGATGGGACCTGAGGCTCAGAAAATGGTCAGTGCCTATGGAAAACATCAAGCGCCATTCTGCAGGCTGGAGGTGGGACAGCCATGGCTACCCTGCTCCTTCTCCTTACCCCCCCACACCTCTGCCCCAGCTGGCCCTCTCCACCCCTGGCCGGGCAGCCCTTACACTGTTGCCACACTGCTATCCCTGGTGTGGTGCTTCACCTCAGCTCCCCTCTCTCTGCTGCAGATCGCTGCCATGAGGGCGGCCAGTCCTACAAGATCGGCGATACCTGGCGCCGGCCCCATGAGACCGGTGGCTACATGCTGGAGTGTGTGTGCCTGGGCAACGGGAAGGGCGAGTGGACCTGCAAGCCTGTGGGTAGGTGGCAGCTCCCTTCTTCTCCCCCAGCTCAGCGAGGGTGCATGGCTTCTTCCTCCTTGTCTTCCCTGGTGCATCCCAGTGTGGGATAGCTCTGAGTTGACTCTCACCCCCTTTCCCTCTCGCAGCTGAGAGGTGCTACGACAACACAGCCGGGACATCCTATGTGGTCGGTGAGACCTGGGAGAAGCCCTACCAGGGCTGGATGATGGTGGACTGTACCTGCCTGGGGGAGGGCAGCGGCCGCATCACCTGCACCTCCAGAAGTAAGTGCTGGGCTGGCCCCTGCCCCCTGCTCCTTTTTATTTACCTGGAGTTTTCAACTCTGTCCTGCATCAAAAAGAAAACATCTTCCTTTTTCACCCTGTTGCAAGCAACTGTGGTTGTAGAGGGATGGCTGCCTCTGAGAAGCAGGGAAAATAGACCCCTCTGAGGTGAGGGGTCCCATTTGCGATGTCCCCCTCTCGTTGGGGAGCTGGTGGTTTGCGGTGGGATTATTTGGGGTTTTAACCTGATTTGGAGTGAAAGGTGTGAGAAATCTGCAGCCAGCTGAGTCACAGCTGTGCATCTCCCTGGATTCCTGTCAGGGAAACTGCTTGGTCTGCAAAATGGTGGAGTTTGACTTCCTTTCTGATGTAGTTGCTCCTCAGGGAGAATTACTTATCTACTCCAACAGCGGGATCTGTCAGATTGAAATGTTGCCTTATTTCTTCTCTTTGCTGACGTTTGATATGTATGTTAGCTGAAACAGGTTTTGTCTTGCGTGCTCTACTGTCTTGCTTGTTAGTTTTTACTGCCATTTTGTCTTCTGTGTTAACTTGCTTCAGCCAGGCAAGTGACTGCTTTACTTTTTACATCACTGAAGGACATTACCCTAAATATTCCATTTTATTTGTATTTGCAAAGCAAACAGGGCTTTTAAAACCCAAAATCTCTCTTGTTTATTCACCTTCTGTTCCAGTTCTGTTAGGGGCAAGCTCTGCTGTGGAGCTATCATGCTTTACACCAGTTGCCTCAAGAAAGTTCAACTTTGTACCTTGCACTTTTGTCATGCAAGGTTTGGTAATGCTTCTGCAGCATTTAAATTGCCTTGTATTCAGTTGCCTCGGGGCACATGGATAATTGCTTTCAGCTGATACAAACGGCAGATCTCTAAAGAACTAGAACACTTAAGGAGGATTGGGATTAAAACTGAAGATCTGGAGAGACTTGGTCAAGAAATAAGCTATAAAAGTCAAACCAGCCTTGACAATATTAAGTTTGCCTAAAAACACATGGGGAAAAGTCATTAACTGTGAAATAGGAATGAATAAACCAGAATGTGTTGTTTGTGAATTTTGGAGGAGTTACTATTACTAATAAAAATTATTTGGCAGTATCTTTCCTGCTATAACTCAGGTCTGCACTGTTGTATTGTAGAGGAAATTGCAATATAATGACCAGTTCATTTTTCAGTTTGTTTTCAAATACAATCAAATAGAGAAATTTGAATTTATGTATATAAAACGATAGCTGTAACCCACAAAGGGGTAATACAAGGTTGGACAGAGCGTTGGGTGACATGGTCTAGTGTGAGGCATCCCTGCCCATGGAGGCAGGTTGCAACTAGATGACCTTAAGGTCCTTTCCAACCTTAACTATTCTGATTACACTTCAGTATGTGCTGCAGTTATATATCTTTTATAGCCAAACTTTTCCAGAATCACAGCCGATTTCTTAGTGGACATTTCAGCTTCTCATTGTCTTAATTTGAGAATCAGCTCCAGGTTTTTTTCACATTTGCAAAATTACATTTTGAATACTTCACCAATTTACCACTCTTCTGGCAAAAGCTGTATTTTCGGTAATTTTATATACTGCAAATTAGTAACTTGCTTTCCACATTCATATTCTATTTCATGTGCTCTTTCAGGGGCAATCTGGTATGATGCCCTTTCACAGTTCTTCATAAATCCATGTTCATTGATCCATGATTATATTTGAGCCACTGTATCAAGTTGCTTTTGAATAAGAAGGTAAAATGTTATAATGGAAGTACAACTAGTTAATCCACATGGATCTGGCATCAAGACAAAAGTAGTTTGTTATACTGTCCTTTGAACCCCTTTACTCAATTCATCAGGGGATGCGGTTATTAAAGACAGCAGGGAGATTTAGAAAATCTAATATTCCTAGTATGACATGAGCAGCTTATGTTAACTTTCCTGGAGCTTCATGCACAATTCTGTTAGAAGAAATGGAATTTAACATATTGCCCTCAAATAGGCTTTAGTTTCCTTCAACTGAAGTAGATTCCCAAACTTGAACTGTGTATAGTATGAAATTATCCAGCTACAAAGACATCTGGTTTAACCCTCCCCCCCAAAAAAAAAAACAAACCCTGACATTAGAGCACATTTAAGCTTTAAGGTGTATGTTAGATAGAATGGGGCTAAAATAGCTTTAAAAGTAATTAGCAGGAAGGTTTTCAATCCAGAATGTGCTTTTTCACATTGATTTTGAATATAGCTTAACATGTTCACACTGGAATGTTACGACACTGATTTTGACAACAGCCCCAGAGTTCTGGAAATAAATGTGAACTTTCTCTTAGACTAAAGCATCAGAATTTTCAGATGCTCTCAGCCAATGCAGTTTAATGCAGGCTTTAGTGCATATAAGACTGGTAATGGTGAGCTGCAAAAAATGAGGTGGGCTTTCAATAAAGGCTTTAAATGATCAGCTCATTTGAAAGTGTTGATGGTTAAGTACTATAAATTGCATGGTGTGAAGTCATTCAATGCAGAACTAGCTAACAGTCATGTTCCTATACAGATCGGTGCAATGACCATGACACCAAGACCTCCTACAGAATTGGAGATACTTGGAGCAAGAAGGATAACCGTGGAAACTTGCTTCAGTGCATCTGTACTGGTAATGGCAGAGGTGAATGGAAATGTGAACGACACACATCCCTGCATACGACTAGCACTGGTAAGTGAGGCATCACAATGTGTAAGGAAGGGGAAGGGACAAGGAAAAGCACAATTTAAATGGCTAAGACTTGGGGTTGAATTGTGCCATCGTAATTTAGGGATTTTAGAAGTCTTGTCCAGGAAAGATCAACAACAAAGAGGGTCAGAGTTCAGGAAATGCTCCTTGTTTGTGCATGAATAGATAATATTAATTTATACTTTGTTTCTGTGCACAAATGGGGCTTGTGCATACAGATGTGACAGCCACAGAACAGTAAATCACTTCTAAGACCCTGCATACACAGGAACTCTGTACTAGCTTTGTATTGGAAGCAGGGCAAGTCAAGTTGATATTTGAACTTTATGTATTCGCCTCAGGGTAACTTTCTTGAAATGTCCTTAATTTAAACTCCACTGAGACCATCTGGTTTATTTGACAAGATAAATACACCCAGTAAAGGTTGAGCTTTAAAAAACAGAAATGTCAAGGAATGTGTGCAATGCTATTTAATACATGTTCTTTAGATAGTTTGTAATTTTGTCATGAAATATTACCTAGTTTATAGGTAGCATATATTTTTTGCCCAAGGTTCGTTAAAGTCTTCAGCTTTTAAATGATTTTTTTTTTTGCTATTTTAAGGATCTAGGTTTCCTGTTGGTGAATGCAATGTAAAGCTTCTCTGTTTTCATGCAGTACCTACACAAATTTTTTCTTTAACTATTTGGTACCAGCAGATTAACTTCAGGCTCTTAGAAGGTCTGAACTTCAGAATACACAAAGCTTCAAGGGTGCCAGTATTTTTTTTTTTTCCATTATTATTTCCCCTGTTTCAGCAGAGCTGAATTTATGAAGATGCCTGTGGGAATCATCAGCAAATATTTCCATAATGTAGACAACAAACCTCTTTGTCTCTCAGTATTATTCCAAATGACAATGGGCCAAAAACTTTGATTCAGAGTGAAAGAATCCCAGAGTAAATGAATACATTTGTGGTTTATTTTTCTTTTTCAATGAAAAATTCTAAATTAATCCTTCTTGCTTTCTCTCCCTACTTCTTGGTAATTTTTCATTGTCTTGTCACTGACTTTGATTTTTCTATTCTACAATTCTTTCAGTGAAATTAAGAAAAAAAAAGTTTCTAAAATATTCCTGTGAAAAGCAATTGACTCTTAATCCTCTCTAAAGGCACTCTGCAGAGGCAGAAACCAAAGGCTGTCATTAGCAGAAGCGGGAGTTCTTTTAACTTTGTAGTTTGCTAAGTGGAATACTAAAATGTGTCTAGGGAAGCTAATAGAGTTGTGTCTTCGATATGATGGAGTGCCTATGGTTTTATTAGCTCAGCATTTTATGGAAGCATTCTGTTCTTTAGCTTTGTATGTCATGTCTCACTTCTCTCCTATGTTCTGGTGCAGGATCTGGCTCTCCTAGCTTCACAAATGTGCAGACTGCATTGTACCAGCCCCAGCCTCAACAGCCCCAGCCTCAGCCATATGGCCAGTGCATAACTGATAATGGAGTAGTGTACTCTGTGGGTATGCAGTGGCTCAAGACACAGGGCAGCCAGCAAATGCTTTGTACCTGCCTGGGCAATGGAGTCAGCTGTCAGGAAATAGGTATGTTTGCATTTAGTGTCTGTTTAGTTCAGTGAGATCTCAAGATAATTGCCCTGGGGGTTAATTTTGAAGTAGAATCCTTTTATGTATGCAAAAAAACTGTCTTCTGAAGAGGACATGCTGGAGAAAGGTGTAAGGGGGGGAAAAAAGTTGTTTTGGTTATTTAAAGCCTGGTTCTGTAGGGCAGAAACATTTCCCAGTGATTTATATATAACATGCTGAGGGAAAAGAGAGCCCTTGGGAAGCAGCATTAATAACTATTCAAATCAGGCTGCAATAATGTATGTTTGGAAAAGAATGTAAAAGAATGACACAGCTGTGGAGCTAAGTCGTCTCTTGGTGTGTATTGGCCCAGGTCCATGGCAGTCAGTGTGGGTTTGCAGCAGTCAGTGACTTGGCTTAGAGGGGCTATTGCTGATTTAGAGTCTTAAGATTTGGGGATTGCTTTAAGACAGAATCTAATGCTGTGATTTGCTTGTTTTAAAGCTGTGACCCAAACTTATGGTGGCAATTCTGATGGAGAAGCCTGTGTTCTGCCCTTCACTTATGATGGAAGGACTTTCTACTCCTGCACCACCGAAGGCCGCACAGATGGGCACCTCTGGTGCAGCACTACTTCCAACTTCGAGCAGGACAGGAGATACTCCTTCTGTACTGAGCAGAACGGTAAGTTTTTCTCAGAGGATCTTCACATGCACATGAGCCTTGTTCACTGATAGAAGAAGGAGCAGAGAACATAGGGACAGATGTCCTGAACAATTCTTGCAGCCTGGAGGGACTCTAGGCATGCCTCAGCAGCAAGGCAGTCCTGTGAATGAAGGGCTGCCTGGTGCCAGGGCATTTTCGTGCTCTTGGCTTCTTTGGAGGGTTATCAGGGTGATACAAGTGTATCCTTTGAGTCCTGTTCTGTCTCCTCTAAGCTGACCTTAAATTGGGAGCACCTAGTCAGGGCAGAGCTTTGGCCAGAAGGATGCTTAGACTTTGGGTTTGCTTGGCTGAATTGCTAAAGCAATGCCCATATTAGGCTGGGCAGAAGAGGTTATCCATAGCGTACAGTTTGTGCAGTCCGTTGTCACTCCCTCTGTCCTGACTATCTAGCCAGATTGCCATATATAGCAGTAATCTTAATGTGATTTGTGATCACTGATCAAGAGCTGGTGCCTGACTAATGCGGAAGCATTCCCTCTTGTTTGTGGATGGCTAGTGTTCCCTTCACAGCACAGCTCTACCTGTGTGGTTGCACTTCCTGGGAAACCCATCAGACATCCTTGGAACACAATCCAGGCAACTCCTCTGGGATCTGAACTTGGAGAGAATATTTCACATTCCCACATGAAAATACCACTTCTTACACTGTATACATTTATTTTTTTTCTTAACTCTCTTCTACTTCAGCTGTTTTTTTCTAATAAAAGTCAAGACTTCCTCTGTAGTGCATACATACAATATTCTTTCTTAAGAAAAAAACCAACCCCAAAACCCAAACACTGTCCCTGTCTCTGCACACATTCTTGTTTTAGTGAGGCTTCTTGTGCTATACTGTGGGGAATGAGAAATATCAATATAGAAAGACCTCAACAAAAGCCTCCTTGTTTTCCACTATCTGTAAAGCAGAGTTGCTCAAGAGGTGAGTAGTTCAGGTAGATTACAGCCCTCTTTCCACTGCTGCTTGCAAAACATGAAGGTTCCAACCTGCAGAGAGGTTTTGACTTGTCCTGTTGTACATAACTGAATTGTAACCCTCTCCTAAAGGTTAACACTTTGCTTTAAGCCAAAGGGCACAACTGGGTAATAGCCTCAGTGAGATAACACAGGTATGCTGAGAACTGAGAGTTTATTTGATTCCCTAGACCTTGGCACAAAGGGTCTACAAACCTATTTCCCAAACACAGTAAGCTTTGGGTTTTGCTATTCCCTAGGAATTCCCATGGCTGGCTCCACAACTTCTTCCAAAGAGATGTTTGAACTGAGTTGACCCTGTGCAAGGCTTATGTTTCCAGATCTGAATTAATTAAAGCCAAGAAAAGAGGCCTGTGAATAATATACAGGGTACACATGGGAAAAAGTAGTGCTAGTTGTTTGCTTTCCAAGCTTTTCCATGCACGCTAAGGGAGAGTGCAGGCTTCATTTGCATCTGTTTTCTTTTCACTTTTATACAGTTTTGGTCCAGACACGTGGTGGCAATTCCAATGGTGCTCTGTGCCACTTTCCCTTCCTGTACAACAACCGCAACTACACTGACTGTACTTCTGAGGGACGGAGAGACAACATGAAGTGGTGTGGAACCACTAAGAACTATGATGCTGACCAGAAATTTGGGTTCTGCCCTATGGCTGGTAAGTTTGAAAACCATAAAGGAATTATGGAGTACCTATAAGTGGTTCTTTGAGGTGGAAAGTAAAGAGCTGCCTGTTGTTGATCAGTTAATGATGACTTCCAATGAGCTGCATTCCAACCCAGAATCCTTTAAGACACTTCTGAAGTTTCATTTTGTCTTTTTTCCTTACTGATCACCTCTAGTACAGACCTAGGCAGTGCCAGGAGAATGCAATTTTCATTACTTCTTTGCTACAAGCCAGTGGTAGGCACACTTCTCAGCTAGTGCAAACTGGTATAGATCCATTAGAGAGTTTTGTAACAAGTGAGGTTTTTATCTTTCACCTACCAAAGCTTCTCCTTCATGGCTCATCACTTTCTTTTGCCTGATCTGTGATTAGAAGTAAGTCTGTACTTACAGTATCAGTGTGTTACCCTGAAAATCGCAATAATTCAAAATCAATATTGTGGTCCATTCCTCAGTTCATGCTTATCTCTGTGATGCCATAAGGGGGCATGTGGGAGGAAATGTCACTGCCAGTTCTTAAATGAAAGGCTTTTGTTAACTAATGTCTATGTAGCATCTGAGTCCTAAAACAGCTTGTGGAACACATGAGTCTTCAGATGACTGTGTGCATATAAAGGCATGGATGTAACAAGAGCTGATTTTTTTCATGTAGCACCTTTTGGACATAGTACAGAAGCTATTTCTAGTAGCTTTCAAATGAGAATCAAAATGAATGAGCCCCTACAAGGAATCTGCACTTAGAGAATGTCACCATCCAGCAAAAATGCTATTTGAAATTGAGTGAGTGCCTAAAGCTTCCTTGTTAAGATGCAGAAGCCACTACACAGTATGAAGGGGCATTGCAAATGGTCTAAGTCCTCAAGATCTTGTTAATTCTGGCCACATAAAGTATCCTCTTGCTTTCTTCTCAACCAGCCCATGAAGAAATCTGCACAACCAACGATGGTGTCATGTACCGTGTGGGAGACCAGTGGGATAAACAGCACGATATGGGCCATATGATGAGATGTACTTGTGTAGGAAATGGCCGTGGAGAATGGACATGCATTGCCTATTCACAACTCAGAGGTACTGATTCTCATGTTGATGTCAACGCTTTAGTCTTAAGTGACTTTATGATTTAGCGTGAGGTGTCCCTGCCCATGGCAGGGGGGGGTTGGAACTAGATGATCTTAAGGTCCTTTCCAACCCTAACTATTCTATGATTCTGTGATTCTAAGTGTTTGGGGGTGGGATAAATTGGTTTTCTTTTTCATCATTGTTTCAGCCCAAGTTCAAGAACTATATGTTGAGCTTTGGTTTGGAGTAGAATGTGAATCACAAGAGCAAAGTTCCTGTCTTGTTTATGTGCTGGAATGCTGTTTCAGCTTTTGCAGCCTAGCAGGTGGAGGCAAAACTTAGTTAACTTGGTCAGCAAGTATCCCTACCCCCTTTTGTCTACGTTAGGAATCAGCATCACTGGGACTTTATGGAGAGTTTGGTAGAGGCACTTCTGCCTCTCAGGAACAGACAGAACTCCAGACTAGTCTGAAGCTTGAATGTAGAACTGTTCTGTTTTATTGTTCTGCAATAAAATTTTCAATTTCTCTGTGCTGGATTAGCCATTTGCTGTCTAATCTATATGAAAAGTTGGCAGGACAGCACTGGATTACTCTTACTTATTTACTTATTTATATGAGTGGTCCAAGTGGAAAAGTGCTTAAGCAATACCAAAAAAAGAAAACTTAAAAGCACAGACATTTGATCATCCTACATCTAGCTCACAGCATTGGCTTCATGTCTGGAAAAGGCAGGGGGTTGCTGTCAAGCAGCCAAGAAAGGATTCTTAACACCACTGGTGAAATGGGATATAATTTATAGGAAAAAGCTCACTTAAGGGCTTTGGGAGGTTTTTTTTTAATGTGTTTCTATCACAGCAATGGGAAATGCACTGCTAAAAGTTCTCGTCTGTAAAACTCCTTTTTCCACATACACAGCTAGTTCTCTGCAGCTCCATTCTGGACTTAAAGTGGTCTTTCTTGATGAGGAGGGTGGAGATACTTTGCTTTTTCAAAAGGCAAAGGTTATCCAAGTAGAGCTGTTTAAACATAGCAGCCAGAGAAGGTCTTTGGCACCCATAGGAGGGTCTGAGCTGCTTGGGTTATCCTGACGCCATACCCGTGGTGTGGGAAAGTATGATGGAGAATGAAAGCCTGGAATTAACTGAGTTGTTTCCCCAAGGACAGATGGTCTGTGATTAACTCCGGAACTGAACTTGCGTCTCTTGCGTCCCAGTTAACAAAACAACATGCTTCTGGGGTGGTTTGCGTGTTTGTTTGGTCTTTCTGTTCCTTGCTGTGATTAGACTGGTGGTAGGAATTCTGGGCCAGATCACAGGTTGATGTGTTGCCATTGAACCTAAGAGGCTGACACCACAGTACCCAAGCATGGGTTCTGTTTACTGTGTTTTGAGTGAATAGTAGATTAGTAAGCGCCACTAGCATCTCAGATGTGTAATATATCTGCTCCTATCTTCAAGTTACTACAAAGTGTAGCAAAGATACCCTTCAGAGTAATAGCGTGAGGATGTTTGTTCTTCTTTGTGGTATCTTTGTAAATGTGGAGTAGCCCTTTTCTCCATGGGTAGTTCAAATGATCTCACACACCTTTCTCACACCTCAGAGGAGGCAGTAAGAGAGTTAGTGTGCTGGTTTAGATTTTCTTTCATATGTGGAATCTGCCAAAAGGAAAAATTGGACAGTTCTGTAGTTTGAGTAACATCCAGTACTTTGGACTGCACCCTACAGACCTCTTTTCTGCCACATTGCTTGTTTGCACACTGCTGATAAATTAAATGGGGAGCAGTGGTGTGTATGCAGCACTAACCTGTGATGATCACAGATAGTAGAAGGGCTCCCTTTCGCTTGAATGGAGCTTGTCATGGTCAGTCTCTATAAGCTGGTCAGGAAGAGGGAACAGTGTGCCAAGCAGAAGGATTTTGTCTTAACACTTAGAGCTCTTGCTGACAAACTGTCTCTGCTCTTTCTCAAACAGACCAGTGCATTGTGGATGGTATTACCTATGATGTGAACCAGACCTTCCACAAGCGTCATGATGAGGGGCACATGTTGAATTGCACATGCTTTGGCCAGGGCCGGGGGAGATGGAAATGTGATCCTGTTGGTAAGTCACCAGCTGTTCCCACATGCCAAATGCACTCTGTGGCTATGTAGAAAGTGATTATGGTATGGTGAAATTGGTGTGTGTGTTTCGGCCCAGTCTTTGCCCACTTTCTGTCCTGAATTGCACAAATGCAAAACTAGAAGTACCACTGGATATGCTGGAGGGTAGGTGAAAGGGCATTTGTAGTTTTAAGGACCTAAGTTTGGGTTATCAGACATGCTACAGAAGAAGTCAGTGATGATGCAGTGATGTCGTAATGGATCATTTCAACATACCTCTTAAGGTTGTGATAACAGGGCACTTCAGCCCTTGGCTGGGTGATTTGGCTGAATTGTTGTACCTGAGATGTTGATCAAGCAGGCAGGGTTCTCAGACTGAATGCTGATAAAACAATATGCAGCTAGACACTGATGCTAGGATCAGTTTTCTTTCTCTCTCCAAAAATCTTTAGGTCTCCTCATTGAACTGAGAGAGGAGCACCATCATATATTAAATTACTTTGGACTAAATTGATTTTTTTTGGCTGTCATTTGTTCTGGCAAAGAGAAGGCTCAGGATGAGAACATGTGTTAACTCTGGAGGTTAGCTAAGACCATCATGGTTCTCTGCAGGAATGGGGAGATTTAATCTCTTCTGCCTCCCCCCTTCCCTGGTGAACCTTGATTGGAAGATAAGACCTAGCTGTTTGGCTTGCAATTACAAAATTCAAGAGAACTTCAAACTATTTCCAAGAAAATCTGATTTATTTACAGCAATATCTGTACAGGTTTACTGGAGAAACTTGGATTGTAAAGCTCCTGAAAATTACTACTTTGAAGGAGAGGAGGAAGAATGATTTCAGCTATCTGTAAAAGCGCAATCAGTTCAATTTTGTTGTTTCACTCTAAAAAAGGCTTCTGTTTATCCAAGCAAGCATAATGCTAGTTCTCACTGTACATTTCCAATGAACCAGAAACACAGGCATAAGTGAGACTAGAAAGTGTACCCAAGTGCTTGCACTGTGTTGCATTTACACTAGTTAAGCTGATTTCAGGATTTGATCTGTCCTCCTTTGGTTTATACAATGGTAAATTGGGAAAGACTCTGCTAAAAACTAATGGCGGAGTTCCTATTTATAAAGTTTTTTATTTTACTGCTCAAGCGAGTAGGAGTTTTGCCATTGATTTTCTTGAGAGCAGCATGGTTTAGCTTTGGATGAGAGTGATGGACTTAGTTGACTGCAGCAGAACTGGGCTCCACAATAGGCAGCGCAGACTAAATCCTTTCTTGAAGGAACACCCCAGTGACTTCCCTGGGAAGTTTGCCAGGTGGACAGCTTGTACCTAACAGTATCTGAAGAAATGCATCACAGCTGAATTAGCTTCCTAGTAGCTAACTTAATACATGCAGTGATACATCAGGAACTTTGATCTGAGATTCAATTTCTGTTGCCACTTTGTCTTTATGTAAGTATACTTGCAAATAAACATTTATTTGCCTAAAAATCTCATGATTTACTCTCCTGTATTTCTCATAGATTTTCACTACAATTTCTATAATGTACAGTGGTTAATTGTCTCTTTTGTGCCTTTAGATCAGTGCCAGGATTCAGAGACCCGTACCTTTTACCAAATTGGAGATTCATGGGAGAAGTATGTCCATGGTGTCAGATACCAGTGCTATTGCTATGGTCGTGGTATTGGAGAATGGCATTGCCAGCCTCTGCAGACCTACCCTGGTAAGAAACCCAACTCACCTGCTGAGTTATACTTGAGGAAAGCAAACTTTCCACCCTTCAACCTGTTCAGGTTTCCTTTTTAAACAGAACCATTTCCCTCTCTTCCTTGGCAAGCACAAATAGGTGTCATGATTAGAAAGAGGAGGTGAGGGTGTTAACACCTATTCCTGAGGCTAGGATTAGTTTAGAGAATGACTATCAGTTCACACAACTTGGGTTTACATTTCCTCATGGTATTTAGCAATACCACACCTGCAACCTTCAGTTTCTATTGCTTAAAACTCTAATATGTGTAGTCTTTCCGTTTCCACTCACTGCAGAAGCAAAATCCACCATGGAGTGAAACATTTTTCCTGATCAGTGCCCTGAAGAAATTAAATATTTGGCCTTTTTTTGACCAGTCAGTTCCAGGAAATCTTTATAGGGACAGGCAATGCCTGCTGGTTGGCTTGTTCTATTACAGTTTCCTGAACAGAACGTGATAAGGAGAACCTCTCTACTTTCCTGTTTAAGGTTGCAACTGCCACTGTCTTAATTTGCTGTTAAGTAGGGCTGTGTTTGGGCTCAACACAAGGAGGAGAAGGCTGTGCTTATGAAAGTGGTTCCCCAGCACATCTCTGAGCATAAATGTGGAGGAACTGCATAAAGATCAGATATGGCAGTTTCAATGCTGAGGTGATTCTCTGCTTTTATATCAAGATAGGTTAAGAAGAGCCTGTCCACTCATTAGCTGCAATATATTTACACCCCAAGTGCCCTGTAAGTTAAGAAGGGGAAAGTGAAGCTCATTCAGAAAGAGGGTTTTAATATAGGTGCCCCTGCTGTTTATGCGAAGCCACTGTGTGCTTCACATAAATAAGGTACCTCTTCCCTGTGGCTGGCTTCACTCACATCATATTGTGCCAGCACCTTATTGAACCTGACCTGTACCCAGCAGTGCTGTCAGTGAACTGACTGCATTTCTATCTGTGGCCAGCTAGTGAGCCAGAGACAAGGCAGAAGGACGCTTGGCAGCCAGAACTACGTGGACTTGCCTTTCTTTGAGGCAGCAAACTAAGGAGGGCAAGAACAGGAAGCAGGCCTTCTTTGAACTTTTTTTCTTGAGTTTCTTATGGAAGCTTGCTGAACTTCATTGACTCCTGACAGACTGCTTAAGCAAACATCTTCCTGAGCTATGTGAAATATTCATGCCTCCAGACTGGAGACCAGGGCTTTGGGCTTCTTTAGACAGAGGAGTGACTGAAAATGTGTAAATAAACCAAATCTAATGCTTCTGAATGTAGGTTTGGGGTTAGGTGAGCTTTGAAATTTCTGCCTGTGGGCACAGGTTTGTTTGCCTGGAAGTCTGGTTAAATGTGAAGCAGGTATATATGTTACACAGTTGTCCAAATAAATTATAATTAGAAATGTTGGGAGTAGGGGGAGAGTGAAGGTATTTAATGGCTAAAATGAGACACTTCCTTGCAGATTCTGGGGTGCTCTTTGCTGGAATTTTCTGAGAATTAACATGATTACATTGCTGCTGAGTCTTCAGGGACATCTCCCTAATAAGGCTAGGAGGTAGTGAAAAGAGAACCATGGGATCATAGAACCTTTCCTTCTCCACTGGGGAGCTTTGTGGAGCTGAGCCTAAGCCTGATCTAACTAAATGCAGACAGTAGTCTTAAGCATTAGAGTACTGCTGATCTTGTATTTGCATCAGTTTCTGGCCTGATTTCAGTGTTTCAGATCAACTGATAATCAACACCACAGTAAAAGCCTAGTGTCTCTTTGCAGGGTATATGCAATGGCAGATCGGGAGTTTGCCATGCCACAAGATTAGACTGCACTCGGCAGAGGTTTCTCATCTGTTTCTCTGCTCCCATTGCAGGAGATATTAATTGATGAAAATAGTTAGTTGCTGAGGAGCTCCCTCTCTTTGAACAATGCAGCGTTGCTTTGCAGACTTTTTCTATACTGGACTGCTCCTGTTCTCTATTTCATTGACAGCTCATAGGAAATTAACCTAAACAGGGGATGTTAATCAGTTTTTCAACTAGTGATGAAGCTTTAAGGGTGGAAAGACAATATCATTCATTTTCTGGGTATAGCAATAGTACGTGAGCCACGCAACTTCCCTCCTTTTTATGACTCCACAAAGAAGGCAGAAGAAAAACACCTCCAGTATGTTAAAAATAGCAATTCTTTTTTTTTTCCAGGGTCATCTGGGCCTGTTCAGGTGATCATCACAGAGAGCACGAACCAGCCAAACTCTCACCCCATCCAGTGGAATGCTCCTGAACGATCACACATCACCAAGTACATCTTGCGCTGGAGACCGGTGAGTGCCACATGCATCATCATTTGTTCACCAAAATACTGTATTTTTTTTGCATTTTGTGGTGTCTGTAAGAAGTGGCTGACACTGTTTCAGCAAACTTTAGTTGCTAATTCAGTTTCCTTGTTTTGCTGAGGTCAACAGTTACTCTGAGGATCAAAGACAAGTGCTGTATAGACACTTGATGCTTTCTTGCTCAAATTTTAATGGTCACTGTGTTCATGAGGTATCTTATTAACCAAAGCACTAGCACAGTAAGCAGACAAGTTTATATCCTTCCTCACTTTAAGTAATGTAAATCCTTGTGGAAGCTTCTTCATCCTAAGAAACATTGGTTTAGTACCATGTGCATGGCCAAAGAAAACTGGGAGATTTTATCCTATTAATGAGGAGGTAAAAATAAGTAGGATATGCAGATATAAACAGCTAGCATAGGATTAGTCATCTCCCATCTTTTCTAAAGTCTAAACCAAAGCTGGTTGACCATCGCTTGTTGGCTCATTTGTATTTGAGGAATGATTCAGTTTAACCAACGTAGATGAGTTGTGTTACAGATGTGCCCTGAGTGCAGCTTCACAAAAGACCACTTAATGATTAAGAACATTAGTACCTCAATGCTGTCTGTTATTAAAAGAACAATAGAGGCCCTGATCCAAAGCCATTAAAGGCACTAGAGTCTTTTTACTGACTTCAGTGTATCTTGGATCAAGGCCTGAATGAAATGGACTTTAAAGCACTGGAGTACAAACCTCAGAGGATGGAGCATTACTTTAGAGCTTCCCAGAGAGTTCAAACACAGGGTAGGTGGGAAGAACATTTCTATATATTGTTTTCAGATGATGGCTCGCAGTGTTATTGTGAACAGCCTTCAAATATGCATTTTCCAGCTATTCCTTCATGCTTTACTGTGTTTTTGATAAAGGAATGAGTTTAGTTTATGTATTACAAATAATTTTTCTTTTAAAGGCAGAAAGTTCAAAGCTAGATTGTTTTTCAGTTTAACCCAGTAAAACTTAATCTCCCAAAATGTCATTAGCCCTGCTTCCTGGCATACTTTTCTCATCTCCTTTGACTTGATTCCATCTGTGCATTAGCCATTCCAGCCATACCTGTGTTTGAATATCAGAGTGTTTGGAAAGCACGTAACAGATGCATCACTACATACCTCTGCTTGCAGGAGTCTCTTACTGACTGTCCTTGTTCTTTCAGAAAAACTCTGGAAGGCCATGGAAGGAAGCCACTGTTCCTGGCTACCAGAACTCCTACACCATCTCAGGCCTGAAGCCTGGTGTGATATATGAAGGACAGCTCATCAGTGTTCAGCAATATGGCCACAAAGAAGTTACCCGCTTTGATTTTACCACAACCAGCACCACAGCAGTGACAAGTAAGTTGAACAGCAGGGCCGTGCAGAGAAGCAGAATCTCCTTCACCTAAGTCTTTGTTTCATGCACCCCAGGTAACATAGAAGAAGTGCTGGTTAATTAAACCTTTCCTGTTTTCTCTCTTGTAGGCAACACTGTCTCGGGAGAGACAACTCTTCTTCCTCCTATGGTTGCTACATCAGAGTCAGTCACTGAAATCACATCCAACAGCTTTGTTGTCTCCTGGGTTTCTGCTTCTGACACAGTCTCTGGATTTCGTGTTGAGTATGAGCTGAGCGAAGAGGGTGATGAGCCACAATATCTTGGTGAGACAATATTTGAGTTTACTACAGCAAAGCATTGCTAACCGTTTTCTGTGACAATCAGAATAGTGAGGATCTTCCTGTCTTTCCATAGGATTCAATAGGATATGACAGCAGTGAGACTAGGTCAGATTAAAAGCTCACTTAGTTCATTGTCCTTTCTCCATCAATGACCATATGTTCATGTCCAAGGAAGAGTAGGAAAAGAAGGCAATATACTGTCCCAGATCCTGCAGAAGAAAACTCCCTGAACCAGGGATGGTGGATTTGTGCTAACTGGGGATAGATATATATATTATTTTCAGCTCTGTGAATTTGTGCAGTATTTTTTTCCTTTTGAAATTATGTTAATTAAATAGCATCCTGAAGTGAGCAGCAGTGCAGCTGAAAAGAGACCCAAATGTATTTATTGAACTTGCAGCCTGGCTAATTTCCTTTGCTGTACCTTTGTCCTTCCATCCAAACAGATGGAGAGAAATCTTTTCCAAATGTCCTCTCTTGGCTACTTGCCATCTTATATCTGTTCCAGTCCACTTAGTTGTTTTGTTTCAATTGAATCTTCCTCATCTTTGATACTGTGACAACTTAGCTAAGCTGGGAAGGTGGTTAAAGGCATTGGACTCAGATCTAGGATTTGAATCTTCTCTTCTAACGTCTGTTGTGGAGCCTGTGTCACCACATGTAGTTTCATCTTATCTCCTTTTTTCTAATTTCCTGTCTTAACCATGGCAATGGCAGTTATCTCACAAGGATTTGAGGTTATAAGAGCTATTCAGATATGAGTGTGATTGATAGACAGACACATAAGAAAAAGGCCTAATAATTCTCCCTGGACTGTTGCTTTCCTCAACTGTCAAGCTTAGACTCCTGAGCAGAAGTGACTTAAACTGGGACTGCCAGCACTGTCACCACCTTCCTTATTTGCACAGTGGCTGCCCAGACAGCTGAGCTGTGTTGTGAAGCAGGTCCTGAGATCATCTGTCTATAGAAAGTGGTTTCCAGGCAAATTGAAAGGCAATTCCCAGTTCCCCTTAAGATGCTTGGCTTCAGTCTAGCCAGTAAGGAGCTGCTTCATGGAGAATTTCCTACATCTGGCATGTAGGTGGACATCTGGGGGAAAGGGAGAGGGGAGAGAAGTTCATCAACTCTCATAATGTCATTCTTCTCTACTCATGAGTCAGTCTTTCCACATAACCTCTTCATGTGAAAATTTTTCCGTAGATTTCTGTATTGAAAATGCCATTTTGGGGTATGAAATGACTACTCAGCTGACATGGCTTAATGCCAGCAGTGTGCAGCTCACATTTCAAGCCATGCTGTCCTAGGTGTTCTCTGCCTGCTGAGCATGGAGACCTTGTCCAACTCTCCACACAACTTCTCAGATGTGGACTAAGGACACAGTGCGGAACAGATGCTGTTTTATTACAGGAATACTGTGATTCAGCCCATATTAGAGCAGTCTCAGTTTTTTCATTTGGAGAGAAAGCAAGAAGATGGGTAGAACTGCTAAGGCAGTTTTTTCTTTCCTACCTTCCTTAGATCTTCCAAGCACCGCTACTTCTGTCAACATCCCTGACTTGCTCCCTGGTCGCAAGTATATTGTTAATGTCTACCAGATCTCTGAAGAAGGAGAGCAGAATCTGATCCTCTCTACTTCACAGACTACAGGTATGTGTGAGTGGCTGTTGCTGCACTTTGAAAGCTGTTTCTATTGTATGCTCAATAACTTTTTGTTATCTTTTATGCTCACACTTGCTGGCCTCTTCTTTTTACTTCCTTAAACAGCTCCTGATGCACCTCCTGATCACACTGTGGAAAGTGTGGATGACACATCAATTGTCATTAGCTGGAGCAGACCACAGGCTCCAATCACAGGTTTGTCTAGTGGGAGTGTACCTCTTTTACATTATTGCTAGAATCTGAAATCTACGTAAAAACTAAAAGTATATATATTCTGTAATGTGCAGTGGTTAATTGTCTCTTTTGTGCCTTTATAATAATTTTGTGCCTTTATAATTGTCTCTTTTGTGCCATATATAATATGTCCTCTAGGACAGAGGGCTAGTGCATAATACTGCCCAGTCTGAAAAACCAGCTGGAAAGCACATGAGCAGTTTAGCATTTGCTTGGTTTCACTGTCTGAACCAAGCAATTCAGGAGGCTGGATGCAAAACAATTCCTTCTGGATTTGTGTTAAATAAAAACAAGCCCCATGACCTTCTCTTTGTATATGTCATCCAGACCATCCCATAACAAGCAAGAGAGATCCACATGTCAAATGATAATCCAGGTCAGGTTATGCTTCGTAAAGCATTCTGGGTGTGTGATCTGTAGATGGGGTGTGAGCACAAGCAGGCCATGGGTTCTGCTGAAGTTCAGGACTATTTTTATAAAACCTCAGAAGGAAGATGAGTTTAACTATAATTTTTTGGCATTCCTTGTACTTTCTTACTGATCATGGCTGAGGACTGTATATACTTCTCTTGCTTTAGGCTACAGAATTATCTACACACCCTCTGTGGAAGGCAGCAGCACAGAGCTCAACCTGCCTGACACTGCAACCTCTGTAACACTCAGTGACTTGATGCCAGGTGTTCAGTACAACATCAGCATCTACGCAGTGGAAGAAAATCAGGAGAGTACTCCTATCTTCATCCAACAGGAAACCACAGGTGTCCCACGCGCAGGTAATGGGCAGCATTAAACTCTGTCGCTGAGTCTTCTCTTAGCGCACAGAGCCAATGACAATGCAAGCTCACATTACTCTAGCTAAATGAATACTTAAATGGACTCAGTTCTAGTTTGTATCATTGGTGTTGTGTTTCTTAATTGTAAATGTCTGTGGTACTGAAGTTTCATAGTAAAGTCATAGTAAAGCAACAGTGATGAACTGACACAGTGAAGCCATCACTGCATTATTTGAGGTGTAATTCCCAGGGATCAGACTGCAGGCAGATCTTGCATTGTGTCTGTGAAAACAGAGATCAGAGTTTCCTGAATTGTCTTAAGGGGATCCTGCTAAGAGATCTTTTTAGGAGCCTGGTATATCATTTTGCTTCTATACTTGGCCTACAGATGTGGTGTCTGAGTACATAACATTACACAACACAAATCCAAATTGTTCACCTGAGTTCTCCCTGTCTTTTCCAGTCCTAACCATTATTTTCCATTGCAGTCAGTGGAGATGGGAGATTGCTCAGCACTGACTGATGTGCCAGAATAGCACCATGCCATCTAAACTTGAGGCCCCCCACAATTAAAAAAACCTACTGGTTTCAGGATTCTTTAAGTATCCAATTGGGCTGAATAGCCAAACCAAAAGAAAGGATAGTGAAAGACATGAGATCTCATGTGGTAGCAGTGGAATGTGATGGTCCTGCAAGTTGCAAGCCTGTGTTTGCAAATGGGAATGTACCAGGAATGAACTCAGCTCAACGTTTTTATGGTTTGGCATCTGTTTATTTCAAAAATGAGCATTGGTTAACCTTAGGGCAGTATCAGTTTAATTTGAACATAGGAAATCAAGGCTGCTGTACTGTGGGCCAGCACAAAGGGAACTGGATATTGTCTTTGACTACAAGGGCTAGATCAGCCCGTTGTTTTTTAATAAAAAAAGATTGATTTTAAGTTAATTATAGATACTGAGAACATGCCACGGGTTTTGAAAACCCTTTCTTTTAATTCTAAAAGGAGGTTCCTGTTTCCAACTCCTGGAGTATTTTTTTCCCCCAAGCTCTTGGTTCTGCATGTACTTGAATTTCCATAGCGTATTACATCTGGTCTTTCAGTTCTCTGTGACAGCAAGATACTTTCTATGACTGAGGCATAAAATACATCAAACTATGCAGTGACATTTTGAACTGTAGTCTTCTCGAATATTGGCTGGGAACGTGTGCAAACATGTTTATGGTAAGGTTACCATGACATTCTTAATGTGGTACATCTTCTTTGGCTAGCCACTGCTCAGTCAAAATTAACTGGTTTTTTTTTCCTCCATATACACCTATAGCTTCTCCTGCCAATTGCCAAGGATTCTCTCTAACACTGTTGCGTCACTATGCTTTCAGATGAAGTTCCTTCACCCAAAGATCTACAGTTTGTGGAGGTTTCTGATGTCAAGATCACCATCATGTGGACCCCGCCACAGAGCCAAGTGTCTGGCTACCGAGTGGAAGTGATCCCTGTCAATCGCCCTGGCCAGCATGGCCAGAGACTGCCTGTCACCAGGAGCTCTTTTGCTGAAGTCATTGACTTGCTCCCAGGAACAACCTATCTCTTTAAGATCTTTGCGGTGAGCCAGGGCAGGGAGAGCAAACCTTTGACTGGACAGCAAACCACCAGTAAGTGCTTCATGCTTTTTTCAGCCTTTTGAAACGCCTATTTCTCTGTCACTTAGAGAATATATAAGCAGAACACTTAAAGTGCAACAGTTATAGCCCAGGAGGTATCCCATAACTAGGATGACAGGGATGGGAATTCATTCAGTCAATGATCTCTTCAGCAGATTTATCCTCCTCCAGGGCTTTCCAATGGGAGTTTAACTCTCATGGCACTTTAAAACAATTTTGTATGGCTGGAATTCAACTTTTTTATTACTCACTGAGAATTGATGGGCCCTGAAGCTCTTTACAGCACAGATCACAGCCTGTGATTGCTTTTTTTTTTTCTCTTTGTGAGGATACTTTGGGGCAGATTTCAACATGACTTAAGAGCCCTGCTGAGACTGCTCCGAAAATCCTTATCTACTTTCTGACAGCTGCATGCCTATTTGGCTCCACTGTTAGCAGCAGGAGTTCTGCATGCACATGTAAGGGCAAGCCTGGTCATTAAAAGGACTGCATTTCAGCTTTGCCAGGTCAGGCCTGGCTTTCCACAGGCTGTCTTACCACCCCAGAAAAATGTCACTATTATCCCAGTGCAATCTGGGGAAATGGTTTGCAGCGACTTCAATGGATTGTTGACAAGACCCATGGGAGCATATGTTTTTCAGGAAGGGCTGTGCAAAATCTCTCAGAACCCAGCTGCTAATGATCTAGTGGCAGTGCAGCATCCACCAGTGTGAAGCAAGTGACAACCACAGTACACAAATGTTAGACATTTGCAGAATGTTAGACTTCTGCAGAAGTGCAGAGAAGAGAGAAGCAGTGGTTGGGCAAGATACAGGCTTTCAGACAGAATAAGAAGAATTTAGCATGGGTTTGGGTGGTTATCTCCATTTTTGATCAAAAATAGACAGATCAGACAGAAGCTGGGAAGTGGTTCACTTGGGCAGAGCCTGTTTATTGGGCAGTAGAAGGGTGACTTGGTGTTTGTGGTGTTCTTTGACTGGGTCACATTATTTAAAAGACAAAAAATTGGCTATGGATTTCTTGCTGCTGCTGTGGCATTTTTCAGTAAAAGAGAGCAACTCCAGAGAATCCAGGCCAACTCTTACAGAGATGAGAGGGAAGGAAACGGGATAATCTATGAGTACAGTCATGCTGTTTGAGAAATGCTACTTACTTGCATCCATAAAGTCAGGAGCCGTGAATAGTGCCTCTACCTCTTACCATCTCCCTTGACTATGCAGGGACAATGGGATCCTTATGTTCATCCTTTGACATAAGTATCTGTGTGAGTGCCCCCCCTCCTCTTTCAAGTGAGGCTTTCAAAAGCAAGGATACAGCTTAGGAGGCTGGACTCTTTTGGAAGCTTTTAGAACAAGAAGAGCTCAGTTCCCAGTTAGATCTGTAATTTTAAGTGGTTGTTTTCAGGAGCCTTGGCTATGTGTAGAGCCCTTCTGAAAGTCCACACACAGAGTTGTACATTGGAGCACAGGCATTTCATTCAGACAGCGCAGGGCTAGTTACAAATGTCTGGAATCATTTTCCATAGGCTGTGATCACCCGCTTAACTGCTTTGCCTAAACCACATTTCAGAAAGCATTCACATAAATTGCATCCTGTAATCGAAAGTCCTGGGAAACAGAAATCAGTCAGAGTTCCCAAGGAAAACCCTGAAGCAAAAGTCTCTTCCCACGGTGTAAATGTGCTTCTCTTTTTGGCCTTCCGTTAAAAAACAGTCTACAAATAAACTCCAAGTGTGTGTGTGTGGCTTTTTAATCTTCCCCTTTTTCCTTTACTATGGGGAGAGGAAGTGATAAAAGCCTAATAGAGCTGGCAAATTAAATTGTGCAGAAAGGAACTGACTGCAGGCTATAAATTGGTGGAAGATAAAATCCTTGTCAGATGAGACTTAGGACAGATGTTAAGTACCAAGAAGCAATAAAGCTGACTCCCAGCTTGTGGGTTGGAGATGGGCCTAAGGAGTGTCGCACTCATCCTTTGTCTGTTAGAACTGTCATCTCCTCCATCTTTGCAAGTGGTGGAAGAAGGAAGTCCTCACTTCCTTTACCCTCTCTCCTATCCTGGTTTTGACTGGGATAGAGTTAATCTTCTTCCTAGTAGCTGATATAATACTGTGTTTTGGATTTAGTGGGAGAAAACAACTGGGGAGAAAACAAAAGGGACAAAACTCCCACTGAATTACTGTGACAGCGAGAAAACATTAATTTTTATCACAAAAATGTTAGTTACTCAGGGGGAGAACTAAAAATGGTGGTTTTGCTGTCAAAAAAAAACAATTAATTTCAACATAGAATTGGGACCTAGGGAAAGTGGAAAACGTGCCGCATGGATGCTATAAACTCTTTGCTGCAGTCCTGCCTGCTGTACAGGACAAATTGCTTAGGTGTCTTTCCCAGTCTGAGCCTCATCTTGTCTCAGCCAAAGGTAGTGACATGTCCACTGTTCACTGGACTCCAGTGTAAGTGCTGAAGAAGCTGTGTTGCTTCAGCCTCCTGTTTATGTAGTTTGCTGGGTTATCAGTTTCAGCAGCTTCTCAGGGGCAGTGATAAAAAGGGGAGGAAGCCTGCTAAGAGCAGTTGCCTGAGTCCCGAGGGAGAGATGAGCATGCTTAGAATTGTTGGATAGTCAGTTCCAGGGCGTGATCGTTTTTAAGTAGATCTGGGGACTGGTTTTCTGCTGAAAGTCGCTGACTCTTCTTTATTTTTACATGAAAATGACCGACTTTGGGGGTATGTTGTTTTGGGAAGGGATATTGAGAGGGCAGGGAATAGGGCTGGGCAAGGATTGAAAAGAATAAATCTTCTTAATGAAAAAGGGCTAAAGTTGGGTTTCTGTGCTTATGCTGACAAGTCTGAACTGAGCTGAGCTTAAAAAAATGCTCAACATTCATGAGAAACTATTGAAATTCCCAAATGTGGTTGGGTTCATTTGTCTTGCCTCAGCTGTTAGTTTCACTTCCCATGGGATGGCACATATGGCAACCACCCAAATCAGCACAGCCAGGAACATGCAGATCTGCCTCACCCAGCGTACTACTGGATGGCACTGAGGCATGGATGTAGTAATTTCACGTCTAGCAACATAAAAGGGACATGGAGCTGTTGGAGCAAGTCCGGAGGAGGGCCACAAGGATGACCAGGGGCTGGAACACCTTCTGTATGCAAACAGGCTGAGAAAGTTGGGGCTGACTAGCGGGGTGAAGAGAAGGCTGCATAGCAGCTTCTAGTGTCTGAAGGGAGCTACAAGGATGCTGGAGAGGGGAGTTTTCATCAGGGACTGTAGCAATAGCACAAGGGAGAATAGGCTCAAACTGAAACTAGAGAAGTTCAGGTTAGATGTAAGGAAGAAGTTCTTTACTGTAAGGGTGATGAGGCTCTAGAACAGGCTGCCCAAAGAAGTGGTAAATGCTCCACCCTGGCAGTGTTAGAGGCCAGGCTGGGCAGAGTGTTGGGCAACATGGTCTAATGTGAGGTATCCCTGCCCATGGCAGGGGTTGGAACTATATGATCTTAAGGCCCTTTCCAAACCATTCCATGACTCTATGATTACCAGCTCTGTCCTGGTTCCTACCTTCTCTCTTCCCTACTGTTGCACGAACACCCTGAGTAAGAAATACACTCTCAACAACCTCATTGTGTACCTGTGTTTTTTGCACGGTAATGGGCTGCCTTGGAAGTAGGGGTGAAGTACAGATTCAACTGGGAAATTGATTCCCATTATGCTTTTTTTCTTCCCCAGAGCTCGATGCCCCCACCAACCTGAGATTTCTCAATACCACGGAGCATTCAGTGTTAGTGTTGTGGATGCGCCCCCGCGCTGTGATCACAGGATACCGGCTGACTGCAGGTCCCACAAGAGGAGGTCAGCCAAGGACCTACAATGTAGGACCTTCTGCCACCAAGTACCTTCTCAGGAACTTGCAGCCTGGCACTGAGTACACCGTGTACCTTGTGGCAGTTAAAGATGACTTGCAAAGTGCCAGAGAAACTGGAGTCTTCACAACTTGTAAGTATGACAGGCTCATACTCCTCTTCCTTAACACCCTGGCCCTCCTTCAAAATTTGCGCTGAAAGTGTCTATTGTGAATTGGTTTACAGAAGAAGCCTTTTGAAGTAGCATTCCAGCCGAACGCTTGGGAAATATTCCTTGTTCTTCTTTCCGAATTATTTGTCAGGATACAAGAGAGTAATTTGTACTAAAAAACTTTTAGTAAAATATATTTCAGCTTTTTCTGTCATTAGAGACAAAAGGGAAACTACTAACTACCGGTACTTTAGGTTTTGTTTAACTGAATAACAAAGAAATTTGGTTTTACTTGATCTTTCCAGTTGTTTGGTTTTGGCAAACAAAAACAAGGAATCAAGGAAAGGAAACAGCAGCCTTAAACTAGGCAAGGAATAATTAGTCTGTCATCTGAATAAAGTTGAAAGCAGTCATTTCTCAAGTCCAACCATACCAGCTTAACTGTAGTTACAAAACTGATACAAACATTGTGTTCTAGCATTTTGCTTCTTTATTTCAGTCACATGTGCTGCTGGGTTGGAAAAAAGTACTGAGCAAATTTGGAGAGGAAAAGGAGTTCCGTAAGAACCCAGATGTACTTATAGAAAAGAACAAATACATTCACTGTTGAAAAAATGATGGAACCATCACAGAAAGTATCAAAATTCAAAGCCATCCAAGCCCAGAACCACATCCTCTTTTCAAAAGAGAATGTGGTTTCTTTTAGAACAATGTGAAAGTGTTCAAACTTCTAATCAGAGTAACACTGTTGACACTGGCAAGATTCTTTTTTTGCTAACAGACAGCCTTATCTTTAAATATTTCTCGATTAAGATATGATTTGGTATCTTAGATGAATATTGCCTTCAAATTTGGGGTTATCTGAATGAAACCAGTCCAGTTCAAGACTAAAAATTAATAAAGCAGGTCTCTTCATTGACAGTGAGGTCAATGTAGATTAAATTCAATGGAGTTATTCTGACTCTTTCTGGGGTACACAAATGCTTTGGCTTCTGTCTGATGCTCCTGGCAGATATCAATGAGACCACAAATTCCTCAGATAGACTTTGAGTTCCTTTTCATTCTGCTGACTTCAAAAGAGTTGAAGCTGTTGGTGAGAAATGAGATGGTCCTAACTGGGACAGCTGGGTGACAGACAAGGGTGTAGTGTTCTGCTGATCGACTGGCATATGGTGGGTGAAGGAAAAAAAGCTGGGGTTTGAGGAACTCTTTAGATATCATGCCAAAACCAATATTCCTCAAATTCTTGGGGTTGGATGCATATAGGATTCATGAGGCCCAGTTCAATATTTTCCTTTTCCTTAGGAACAACAAAAGCACTGCCACTTGTGTACTGGGTCGATCAAACCCAGCAGCAGACAGAGTCATCTGTCAGACCTCTCCCAAATCACTGGATTTTTAGAAGTAATATAGTTGAGCACCTATCACATACCCCTTGCCATCTGAACTGCTGTAGGTCAGGTTTTCTAGCTGTTTGGTACCACCACAGCAGCAAGACTCCAACTCTGTCAATTCACTTCACAGATCAGCCTGCTGGCTCTGTTCCTCCTTTTAACACAGAAGTGACTGAGACTTCTATTGTCATCACCTGGACACCTGCCCCAAGGATTGGTTTCAAGGTAGGAGAATTGATCCTGTGTTTCTTTTTTCTCTTGCTTCACTGTGATAGGAAGGGCAGATTAAAGCTGTTTACTGTGGACTGCATTGAAGACAGCACGAAGTACAAAACACATGCTGCTTACAGGGGGCAGGTCTAGGTCACAGAGGTCAATGCAAGCATCTCATCTGGGCTTCAGGTCAAGTTCCTCAGTGGGACATCTAAAAAAAGGATACAGGGTGAACAGTTGGCATTCAGCATAAGGGCCTATGATACTCATATTGGATAAGTCAGGATGATAGTTAGCTGGAATAGGAGTATTTGAGACTGGAAAGCAAACTCTCTCCTTCTCTGCAGCTGGGTGTACGCCCAAGCCAAGGTGGAGAGGCTCCTCGGGAAGTCATCTCTGATTCTGGCAGCATTGTGATATCTGGCCTGACCCCTGGAGTGGAGTACACCTACAACCTCACAGTCCTGATGGATGGCCAGGAGAGAGAGACTCCTATCATCAGGAGAGTGACTACACGTATGACACATTTGCTTTTCCCCAATTATTCCTTCTTCTACTTGTTTCCCTTGCGTGCCCTTGTGCTGTCTTCTGGGGCTCAGTTCTAGTCTTTTCCTCCTGTCATGGTTTAGAGGGTGTCTTTGATGCATAAGTGATGGTAGCACTAGCTTATGCAATGCAGGGTCAAAACTTAAGAAGAATATTTTTAAGTCATTTTGAAGGGTGAGGATAAAAGGTAGGGAGAAGGGATGTGAGGGAGCTAGCATGATTCTCAGTGCCACAAATGACCCATTTGTCTTAATGCTTGCAGCATTGTCTCCACCAACCAACCTGCGCCTGGAGCCCAATCCTGATACTGGGATCCTGATAGTCTCTTGGGATAGAAGCACAACTCCAGGTAACTATGTCAACTCGCACTATGCTCAAACCTTCTGTTGTGTCAGAATGCCAGCATTTGTTCTGTGGTTATCTGCAAGTCATTAAGGAGACTTTAATGGGAAGCATGCTGTAATTTAAGCAAAAATTTACATATTTTTTAATATATTAAGGATATGATGCAGTTCTGAGCAACAAGATCTAGTTGAAGATGTCCATGATCATTGCAGTGGGTTGGACTAGATGAGCTTTGAAGTTCCCACCCCCTGCTACGGGATGTTTTCCACTAGAGAATGTTGCTCCAAGCCCCATCCAACATGGCTTTGACTACTGCCAGGGATAGAGCAGCCACAGCTTCTCTCAGCAACATGTGTCAGGGCCTCAGCACCCTCACAGGGAAGAACTTCTGCCTAAGAGCTCATCTCAATCTCCCCTCTACTTAATAGTCAAGTTAAAACTATTACCCCTTGTCCTATCGCTACATGCTCTTGTAAAAAGTCTCTCTCCAGATTTCCTATAGACCTCTAAGTACTGGAAGACTGCTCTAAGGTCTCCCTTGAGTCTTTTCTCCAGGCTGAACAAACCCATCTCTCTCAGCCTGTCTTTACACAGAATGTAATGTGTTTGCCTCAGTTGTTTATACTGAGACCTGATGTAAATAAGTACATCATGAGATTACTGCATACTGGTATATCTGTATTTCAGGCATCAGTGGATACCGAGTGACCACTTCTCCTACCAATGGGCAGCAGGGCTCTACCTTGGAGGAAGTAGTAGGTGCAGATCAGACCACCTGCACCTTTGAAAACCTAAACCCTGGTGTGGAGTACAATGTCAGCGTTTACTCAGTCAAGGACGACCAGGAGAGTATCCCCATCTCTGAAACCATCACACAAGGTAATGAAAGGATGAACATCAGTTTTAGCTACTCAAAGTCAAGTTGCTGAGCCCGAGAGCTCTATATTGCAGAACTCAAATAGTAGTCTGATGACAGAGGGCTTAAGAGAGAGTCTTAAGAAGCAGAACAGCCATGTACTAGCATATGACAGAGCAGTTTTTATACCCGGTTACTTCTCTGCATGGGCAGCCTACATTGTCTGTCAACAGGGTGGTGGTAAAGAGATGGGTCTGTTTATCAGTACACTGAGCTGGAACGCAACAGAGATTTAACTTGGCTCTGAAGTGCCCTAACATCTGGAGTACAGAGGGTGGGAAAGAGAAGTAGGTGAAAAGAGATAAGAGTGGGAAGCAGCACAGGAGAAATTTTGGCAACAAAAGTGGTGGAAGATCACTTCAGCACAATGGAGAGGAAAAACAAGATTGAAAGGCCCATCACTGTAGCACTTACGGGACACAAAGTGGTGTGTGCCACCTCACATTACATGCTGTGATGATTGCAGAAACCACCTTTGTAGCCACAGTAGCAAAATTAATACGCATCTCTCCAAATGGTTTCATTTCATTTTCCTTTGTGAGGGCTTTGTTTGTTTGTTTTTGTTTCTGCTCAGCCCTGAAATGATGCCAACTGCTGTGTTTGCTTGCTCTTATAACACTGCTTTAAAATTTCTATGCTTCACTGAAGTACTGTATGCTCCCTGGGGGTGAACTAGTACTGTGATACTGCATAATTAAAGCAGTAATAGCTTTGGCCCTTTACCATCTTCTAGTGGGGGAAAGCTAAGGATGTATGTCTCTGGCTTTTAGCACTCTGCAGGTGATATGGTACATGCATTCCATGTGGATAAACAATGATTTTACAGAAAACTGACTTTTTTTTTTTGGACCTCTCCTGTAAAATAAGTCTTTCCACAGAAGGACATTAAAATGGAAATAACCACTGTTATTAAAGCCAGCCTTTTGAAATATTACTGTCCCATAATTCCTTTTGAAGATAACTTGTAATAATCCAACAGAATGGGTACTGAGTCATGCATCCTTGACTCACCTTTGGGTGTCTGATCCTGAGTGAGGAAGAGCATGCATAAGCTCCCACTGATTTCAGGATCACCCTGCTAAAGTTGCACATCCAAATCTTGTGGCTTAAATCAATACCAGTCTATTGACTTGAGCAACTGAGGGTTTGGCCATTGTCAATTAAAGAGGCATCTAACTTTCCCTGCTCCCTGCCCAATTCTGTTGGTCCTAACATGCAGGAAAAGAACAGCTTTGCTAATAGGAATAACATGGATAGGGAAAACAGTCACAGCTGTGCTTGTTTGCCATACAGAAATTTAGACAATATCTAGGTTATGAAAGAGGATCCTTGCTCAGTGCTCAGTGCTCAGTTCAGAGGTTTTGAACAATTTAGCCAACAAACCAAGTCAGCCTGTTGGCTCCATCATGTGCTGGGCATAACCTCTGAATATGGGGACACTGTCACTTACAGAATTCTTTCTATCTAATGCTTATTTTAAACCATTTGCCATCTCTCTGAGGAAGTATTTAATTATTCACTGTGCTGTATCATCTGTTTTTGCACATATATTGCAGCAGTCAGTGGTAAGTAGAACATAAGGAATTCTGGGCCAGATCCTCAAACTGTTACAGGGATTTGAGACTTTTCCCCCAAGTCCAGTGTGAATAGTTCAGGTAGTGAATGATCTACCCTGAAGCTTTGTGATGGTTCTCACCAGCTGAGGGTGAAATCTGATTTAAATAGATTGATATGTTTTATGATCCTAATGATAAAAGTTAGACTCGCCATTTGAACAGGACAGAAATTCTAGAGGGTAAATCAACAATTGTTCCAGATGAGTTGTTTTATTTATGTGTTAATAGACTTTGATCTCTTGTTTTCTACTTGCACAAAAAAAAAAAAAGAGGTATGTTTTTCCTGTTTCTATTTTCATCATTATGGCTCATTGTTGCTCAAAGTAAATTTGTTGCAAATTAAGTGCCTCTTATAGGTTTTTATGAAAATCAGGTGTCTAAAGTGGCAACTCAGGGAGTTGGAGTTTCACCTTCTGTCTGCTCAGGGAGGCAGTTGGAGACTGCATTGAAGGGCACAATACAAAAAGAAGACCGCCCCACACACACACACACACACAAACCAAAACCCACCAAAACCTTCTCCTTTTCCCCCAAACCCCATGAGAAATTCTGCATATCACCGCAGTTGCTTCTAATGTGCTGTCAATGTTAAGAGTGATGAACACTGCTTTTTTTCTCCCTTATCTTTCTTTTGCCTCTGTATGTCTTTGCCTTTCCCATTTGCTCTTTAACTCATTAGAGGTGCCCCAACTCACTGACCTAAGCTTTGTTGACATAACTGACTCCAGCATCGGCCTGAGGTGGACCCCGTTAAATGCCTCCACCATTATTGGCTACCGCATCACAGTAGTTGCGGCAGGAGAGAGTGTCCCTATTTTTGAAGACTTTGTGGACTCCTCAGTAGGATACTACACAGTGACAGGCTTGGAGCCGGGCATTGATTACGACATCAGTGTAATCACACTCATTAATGGTGGAGAGAGCGCCCCTACCACTCTGACACAGCAAACGGGTGAATCTTGCAAACTTGTGTGTTTTGTGATGTGGACGGTGTTTCATGCTGTCACTGGCTGTCAGGAGGATGGGGCTTTGTCCAAAGAGGAATTGAGCCACTCACTGCAGGGAAGCCAGAAAGACTCAGCTCGCTCCTTTTGCTAAATGGCAACTGGGGATGGATAGGCTATTTCCAATTGAATAGCTGCAGACTTGTCAGACACATTCAGTATCCACTATTCATATTTCTGGGATATAGTTGGAATCAAGAGCCTGAAACATGAGCTGTATATTCACCAGACTATGAAACTGTGATCCCCCAAAGTAAGCTTGCAAAGGGTGGAGCAGTTCAGCAGACACCCTCCAGTCTTGATAGCTATTTGAGCTTCCAGCAGCCTGTTTCAGTGGTGGCTCCGCTCTTTCCTCAATGCCCCAAAGGATGCACATGAAATGGAATGGCCACTCCCTGTGTACAAGCCATTGACAGCCATGCCATGCCGTCAAAGGTGTCTCTAGTGCATGAGCAGAAGGCAAGCTGAAAACTGGTTCTTGCATGAAATCCTATTGTGGTTGAGGCTGTAAATCCTTTGACATGAGTAGAAGTAGAGCTATAGGAAATTAGTGATTTACCTTCTCCTCTCCTATGTGTGCATGTATGAATTCTAGATGAGATGACTTTTCCATCTGTAATCTGCTGTATGGTGACTTTAAACCTCTCATGGCTCCACATCTGTAATATGAAATGTAGTTGCAAGAAGCATGTTACTTTTAAACTTGCTACCCTGTTTTCAAATTATCCCCACAGGGTGTATTTCAGGTATCAGGAATTGCCAAGAGGTTAAAGGAGCCTGACAGTAGTACAGACATATTTTAACTATAGTAGAACTGAACGTAGTTTAGAAGTCTGTTTGCATGGATATGACTCAGTAGTTTGATATGCATGAGATGCTGATTCCCTGAACATACATCTTGATCAGCTTTTATGAATCACAGAACTAAGAGGTCTGTTCTTTGCCATGTAGCTGTGCCTCCTCCCACTGATCTCCGCTTCACTAATGTGGGGCCTGATACTATGAGAGTGACTTGGACTGCACCAACTTCCATCGTGCTGAGCAGCTTCTTGGTGCGCTACTCACCTGTGAAGAAGGACGAAGATGTTGCAGAGCTGACAATTTCACCCTCAGATAACATGGTGATCTTAACAAGTAAGTAGGTTATCTACAAATATAAAGAGGCCCCTTATATATCACATAAGATGGGGCAAAAAAAAAATGCTTACTGTAAGTACAACTGGCCAAATTCTCAGCTGATGTAAGCTAATGTTGAAGTAGCCTCCTGCTAACTCACACTAAATGGGGTTTGGCCACGTGCTTTACCCAAGTTAAAACCAAACTGCAGGAACATTTTTTCCTATCAATCCAAGGACAGTGATGAATCAGGCTGTGAGTCAATTGCATTGATTTGCAGCCTGGTTAGGTATTAAGAGTAAATACCTATTACTCACCTGGTTTGCCAGAAATGTCAAGGACTTGCAGTGCAGAGGCTCAGGGAGAGGATCAGAATGTGCAAAAGGTCATTGCTCCTTTGGTTTTGTATGCTCGGGACCAGAAAATAAACACTGTTTGTAACCTTACAGGACACGGCAACAGAACATTGGGCATTTTCGAAAAGCTGACATTAATTTTTGCTGGTGCAAAAGCTCCAGCTTTTGCATTTGAAGTCTCTTTTTTTTTTTTAATCCATCCTAGAATCAGGTAGGTTGAGTTGAGTGAGAGACAATACCCACTTTCAAAATAAGAGGCCAGATATGAAGTTTATCCGAGTTAGAATAGCTGTGCTGGAAATCCTTGGCCCTATTCCACTTTATATCAACTAAAGATTTGGCTTGGTGCATAACTAAACTACTGGATAACTAGAAGGGACCTTGTAGAAAACTACTTGCTTCTAGCCTGTCTCCACAAACTGATGAAGCAATGATATAGGATACCATGCTCCTTTGAGCTAAAACATTGTAAGCAACCATAATGCCACAAAAAGAGCTGATTTAAATTTTTGTCTGTCCTGGAGGCTCAGATCTTCTATCAAGTCAAACCTGAATCTCTTCCTTAAGAAACACAGTTAAAATTGTGTAGGCTGAATGACTTCTAGCTATTAGTAAAGAAAGATATCTGAATTCCTGTACTTGAATTTCTGTCCTTAAATTCCACAGATCTGCTTCCTGGTACTGAATATCTGGTCAGAGTCTACAGTGTTTCTGAGCAACATGAAAGTGCACCTTTGTCTGGAATCCAGAAAACAGGTACTTAGATGCACGTTGAGACACATGTAAGATTAACGCCATCCAGTAAGCATTCATTTATGGGACTTTGTTGCTTGCTCTTGTATATTGCCACCTCGTTGGTGGGTCGCCAGTTAGATATCAAAGAGCAAAGCAGAGGAACTTCTTGGGAAACACTAACGAGTTTTGCATTTCTCTATGCCTGAGGGCCAGAACTTCTGTTGGTTTTAAACAGAGCACCTGATGTGAACGTACTTACGGTGTCTGCCTGAGAACCAGCCAGGCAGAGCCTGTCATATCTATCACTCAGTCTTTTGTGTTTCATAACTGTGTAACGGAGCATGCTCATGTGCATTGTTTATGCTGTGTTGTCTGTGTGTGCCATACTTTCTTTCCCTACAGTTGTGTTTCAGTACTTGTTTATCTCCCTTTGATCATTAACATATTTATTTAGTTCTATGGGTAAATGGCATTTAGCTTAGGATCTGGTAGAGCTGCAGTATTGAGCATAATGAAATATATTAGTGATCATGATGACCAGTAGTTTGGCTGAGCTCAGTCTCTTGTCTCTTTGAAATACCCAGCTCTTGATTCCCCAACTGGCCTTGACTTCTCGGATATAACTGCTAACTCCTTCACCGTGCACTGGATTGCTCCTCGTGCAACCATTACAGGCTACAAAATCCGGTATCACCCAGAGCATGGTGCTGGCAGACCCAAGGAGGACCGCGTGCCCCCCTCACGGAACTCCATCACCCTTACAAACCTACTTCCAGGGACTGAGTATGTGGTCAGCATCATTGCCATCAATGGCAGAGAGGAGAGCTTGCCCTTGGTCGGCCAACAAACGACAGGTAAGCCTTGAGAGAGCACTGGCTAAAAGTTTCCGTGAAGAATTTTGGTGTCCTCTAGCAAAGTAGTTGCTCTTGAACAAGATATTCCCTACCAGCTAGTGAAACTTTGCTTATGAGGAAGTGTCTATGATACTGAGGTAGGGCCTAATTTAGAAAATGGTGAGAAACTATGCTACTTTCAGATCAAGTTGGATGTCCTTAGGGCCAGCAGACTTTTTTCATTAAATCTAGTCCAGTACTGGATGGATTTTAACCAGATACATCACTTGTAGAAGTGTGTGCACTGGCCTAAAAGCAAGGGAGATAAGTAGCAGAGGAGCACAGTATGATAGGTGGAGTATGTGACTGGTGTATGTTAACTGCATTTAAACTCTCTCAATTCTTTGTTTCTAGTGTCTGATGTTCCAAGGGACCTGGAAGTGACCCCCACCAGCCCAACCAGCCTTGTGATTTCCTGGGATGCTCCTGCAGTGACAGTCAGATACTACCGGATCACTTATGGTGAAACAGGTGAGGCTAGGCTGCTACGGCCAATCACAGAACAGAAATTCTATTCTGAGGCCATTAGAGAGCCACATCAAATAGCAAAGGCAGGTTTGACTGTAGCCTCTTGTATCTCTGAGATTCTTGCAGTATATTTAGAGAAGATTATAAAATGTAGGTGTTGTTTGTTTTTAAAGGAGAGCAAATCACTTTTTGTCTACCAAAAAGAAAGAGTATCTGGAGCATTCCAGACATTTAGAAGTAGTTCTCTGTACATATTTCATTCTTTTCTTTGGATTGGTCTGAAAAAAACTTTGACCTAACAACCATTGAACTCAACAGGGTTCTGTCTTCAACGAATGATGCATATAGGATTGTCCTGGTTTTGGTAATGATTTAAAATGTAGAATTTAGAGATCCATTATATTTCTTTTTCCACCCAACCCTTCTTAGGTGGAAGCAGCCCTGTGCAGGAATTTACAGTGCCTGGCACTATGTCTACTGCTACCATCACTGGCCTCAAACCTGGTGTAGACTACACCATCACCGTGTATGCTGTAACTGGCCGTGGAGACAGCCCTGCCAGTAGCAAGCCAGTCACTGTCACCTACAAAACAGGTGAGACCTGTTTAAACAAAACAAAACATACAAACCCCACTACAGCCTATGTTCAATTATCCCTGTAAATTTTTATCACTGATCCCTGGTTTCTTTTACAAGTCGTGGGCTATGTTGTAAGCCCATCACTTTCAGTGGAGCTGTGTATCATAGAATCATAGAATAGTTATGGTTGGAAAGGATCATCTAGTTCCAACCCCCCTGCCATGGGCAGGGATATCTCGTTCTAAACCATGTCACCCAAGGCTCTGTCCAGCCTGGCCTTAACATCACCAGGGATGGAGCATTCATAACTTCCTTGGGCAACCCATTGCAGTGCCTCCCCACCTTTACAGTAAAGAACTTCTTCCTTGCATCTAATCTAAACTTCCCCTATTTAAGTTTGGACCCCTTGTCGTGTCACTACAGCCCCTGATGAAGAGTCCCTCTCCATCATTCTTGTAGCCCCCTTTAGATGCTGGAAGACTGCTCTAAGGTCTCCACGCAGCTTTCTCTTCTCCAGGCTGAACAGCCCCGACTTTCTCAGCCTATCTTCATACGGGAGGTGCTCCAGTCCCCTGATCATCCTCGTGGCCTCCTCTGGACTTGTTCCAACAGTTCCATGTCCTTTTTATGTTGAGGACACCAGAACTGCACACAGTGCTCTAAGTGAGGTCTCACGAGTAGAGGGGCAGGATCACCTCCTTCGACCTGCTGGTATTGTGGTGCCCCAGCATGATAATGGCATGACACAGAAGGCGATCTTCTGTGGACTTGAACTGTTGGTGGAGAGACACCCTGTGGAGTCCTGGTGGGGACACAAGCAATATTTGACTGCTTATTTCAGAGTGGCAATCCTGTTGGGCTCTTGTATCATGGGACCACTCTTGGCTTAACTAACTCTGATGCTTGAGCCACACTGTCATATTATGTGATCCTGATGAAACCTGGCTTTCTAATGCCAGGACTGTCATCTCACTCCTCACCTGGATATAGCCTAATCCTACTCCTTCTGTAGCTGCAGATAAAGGCATTTAGTGTCCTTTAAAACAACAAAAATCCTCAGCTAATATTGATACGAAGTCAGTCACCCACACATATTGGTTAAGGCTTTTTTGCTCTGGGCTATTGTGAGGGATAAATGAGTAGCAACCTGTGTTTGCTGTTCCAAGAAGCACAGCTAGAAAAGGAAGAGCAGACTAAAATTCAGAAAGGAGGCAAGAGTGGGGACAGGGTTCCCTGTACCAACATACTCAAAAACCCCTTTTTTTGTTGCCCAGAAATAGACACACCATCCCAGATGCAAGTTACAGACGTCCAGGACAACAGCATCAGCATCAGATGGCTTCCTTCGACATCCCCTGTCACAGGGTATCGTGTGACAGCTGTCCCCAAGAAAGGACATGGGCCCACAAAAACTAAAAATGTCCCTGCAGGTAAGAGCAAATCTGTAAAGAATGAAAGATGTGGCCACCAGAATCAGCACTATCAGGCACTGGGCATATGCCTGAAGCTCAAACCCTGCTGACTTCCGTTGGGTCTCATTCAGGAGAAGCTAAGACAAACTTTGCCCTGAAAGTTTTGCATACTGCAAAGGTTTGCTTTGGAACCCTCAGTATCTCTGAAAGGCACCTGGATTTCAAAGAAATGCCATTGGATTTTCTAGCACCCAGCAAAACTTCCTCTAAAATCCTTTTGAAGGTCCCATAATGTGGCCCTTGCTCATAGCATGGACTAGGTCACACAGGCTGCAGGCTTGGCCTCATTACCATAGAGCTTGCCAAGTCAGCTCTCGGGTTGCTCTCAAGAACAGTGTATTTTGTAGGATCAGCAGTGATTAGCACTCTAGGGATGCAGTTGGGTTAATGGTCAGACTTAGTCCAGAAAATGATGAAAGCTGGTCTTGCTTTATTTTTTCTACTGTGCTGACCTGTCCTTTCAGCTGGGGGGCTTGCAAACAGGTTCAAATTGCAGATGCTGTGCTGTGCAATGCCAGAGAAGCATAGTGCAAGCAAAAGGCAATCTTGTCAAACAAATATGTCAATCCCATCTTGTTTAATGATGTTTATTCATGGTATGGCTTATACAGGCCCTTCATTCAAGGCTACTTAGAGGCCAGCTCTGATGGACTAATGTTGTTCTTTCCTGCCAGATCAAACACAAGTCACTATTGAAGGTCTGCAGCCCACAGTTGAGTACATGGTCAGTGTCTACGCTCAGAATCAGAATGGAGAGAGCCTCCCCTTGGTAGAGACAGCTGTCACCAGTATGTATTTCACTTCACGGTAACAAAACAAGTGTTATCTATGGATGTCTACCATGCAGTATCACATTCCCAGTGAAAGCAAGGGGCAGCTGCCTAGTCTCCAGGAGAATGCAAAGTGGTCTCTGCCCTGTGCTAAGTATCATGCACCTAAATTGCAGATGCTGGCAAAAAATGCAGTTTCCTTACCTCAAACAGTGGCAAAATGCAGTTCCTCACCCCCTCAAAATGCTGTGCTTCTGTTTTTTCTTTCACTAAAGCCACAAAATCTTTTGGGGTTCTGTTTGCCATCAGCCAATCAGTGGGAAAAAATGTGCAAAGATCTTTCTGGAGCTAGGTGGCAAAGGTGATTACTGGCTACAAAGAGAAGGCAAGAGGGAACATGTAACTCAGAGGGGAATCCCTGATGTCAAGTGCCTTTTTCAGGGACACCTTTGGGATAGAGATTTTGATGCATGTTATTCCCTTGCTCGGGCTTGTATTCAACACCACAGCTCAGCCCCAAATACTTACAGAATTGTCCTAAAGACAAGAGGAGCTTGGGAATAAGGTCCACATCAATTTCAAATGAACAAATTCCTGGACAAAAATCACCTTTGCCAACTAGAAGATGAACTAATAAAACATGGCAAATAAAAGAGTTGAAAACCTCTAGAAAAGCATAATTTGGATCCAGTATAATGATATGCCAGATCCTCACCTTTTGTGTAACAAATGGGTATAGCTCTGTGGTAGCCACTCCTGTGGAGCAAGGCTCACTTACTTTGCTGTCCAGCACTGAGCTCCCATCTTGCTAGGAAAAGGTGATGAACTGATCGAAGCAGGAAGCCTGCATATCACCCAGTTGCACCTATGGACATTCCCTGTGCACTCAATATGAAGCTAAAAAGTTTGTTTCTAACTGATTTGAAACTATAATATACTGAGTAATTTGCTTTCTTGATGAGTGTGTTAATTGGATATTTATGAAAGAAAACAGCGGGACTGATTCTCCTTGGACTGGCGCTTTGCACAGCAGCTTACAATAGTGAAAAGCAAATGCAGCATGAATCCAAACTTCCCAAAGCAGGTGGGTTGACTGGTGACCTTTAGCACTAGAAACCAGTTACTGGCTCTGATGGTAGAAACAGGGCTCAAAATTCCCACTTCCTTTTCCTCTGTTGACCACTTGAAGGTAGCTCAATGCTGCAAGAGTTGTTTGAAAGGGGTTTAGTGCTAATGGCACTCAAATACAGGTAAGGATTGGTGGCCTGGCTGCTTTGCAAGTATTAATGCAAGTGCTTTTTTTTTCACCAAGGCCAAGCTAGCCTTCCTGCTGTCTGGCACCTGCAGGCTCTCAACCTCACTCGGCACAGTGTAAGCACGTGTGCAAGGTGCAAGCACAGAGGAGAATCAAGTCCCCCCCTCCTGCGCAAAACCAAAAACTGCTTTGCATGTAATAGAAGTGCTTTTTATTTTCCTCACCCACAATCTGCTTTTTATCACATAACCTCTTCCCGTTAATTTGCCTAACAGACATTGACCGCCCTAAAGGACTAACATTCACTGAGGTGGATGTTGATTCCATCAAAATTGCTTGGGAAAGCCCACAGGGGCAAGTCACCAGGTACAGGGTGACCTACTCAAGCCCTGAGGATGGAATCCATGAGCTATTGCCGGCCCCAGGTGGCGAAGAAGACACTGCTGAGCTGCATGGCCTCAGGCCAGGTTCTGAGTACACTATCAATATCGTTGCCATATACGATGACATGGAGAGCCTGCCCCTCACTGGGACCCAGTCCACAGGTACACCTTTAACTACACCACCCAGTAGGCCATGGCAGCAGTGGCTTCTGCCCTGTTGGGTAAAGTGTGCTTCCATGCGCAACTCTGTGCTGGGGAAGCCCCAGGGGCAGCTGAAGGGATGTGATTGCTCTTGAGAGATGGCTTAGTTGGTGTTGGAGAGCTAGCTGCCAGCAAATTCAGCCTATATGCGCATTAGGAAAGTTAGGGAACGCAGGAAAGATTGGCAGGGTTGAAGGAGCAGATTCTAGAGGAAGGAAGAATGTCACTTCATAGCCTTCTCTTGGTCCTCAAGTGGATCAGTAATGTCTGGTCCCTACTCACAGAGCCTAATTCATGGTGAACCACCCTCTCACAATGCTCTTATCTTGTCTTTAGGATGTGGAGCACCTGCAAGCAGAAGCAGTTACCAATAACAAAGAGATCAGGGCAGCTTTCGTTCCTCAGGGTCCTCACTGTTGGATGGAGCAAAAGGAGCATGAAGGGCTAGGAGACTGCCTAACCCTCGGATCTCACAGAGATCCTTCACTGGCACTACCCTAAGTACTATAGCCCCTGCGCATGCCCATGCCTCTGCTCACATCACCTCCACAAGGAAAGGACATACTCCAGTCAGGAGAGTCCCTTATGTGCCAGTCTCATCCAACTCCATGTAGAATACGTTTCAAATTTCTTTGTCAAAAAGGAAAAGGAAGCTCATAAAATTATTTCCAGCAATATAGAATCCATTGCAGATCTTCCAGCATTACCAGACATGTCCTTATGGCAAAGGTAGCACCTCTGTAATAAAGGTCTTCTCTTCATTTGTGGTTGAAAAGTTAGCATTATAATTCCAGGGGTGTAATGAAGGCAGTGATTCCTAGTGTACAGATTGTTATGCTAAACTGAAGCTAAGTGCTATAATGATTGAAACAGCTGACTGACTACCTGCCAGAAATGCAAATATAGTCATTTTTAAACCCCGCTGTCTGGTTTAACCTTTGCGGGCTCTTCAAAAGTGTATTTGAAGTCATTCAAGATGTTCCATTGACTCTCTTGAGCTTTAGATTGAGCTTTGAGGAAAGCAACAAGGAAGAATTACCTTATATTTCCACTCTATAAAATTAGAGAACTTCACAGCAACATGCTAATAGTGGGCATTATGGTAACAATGTTTATTTCCCTTGTTTACAGCCAAAGGATTACCAACTGTAAGGCAAAAAAATGTTTCAATGGATGCTCCTTTTTATGTAAACATTTGTTTTCAAAGACATCAATCAGATGGGTTCACTCATGAACAGGCTCTTGTGTGATGAGCCTTATGGCCACCATAGCTCTGCTTTCCATTGCCTTGCTCTCTGTGTAGTAATTTACACTTGTGTAAGTGGCTGTAAAATGCTTCCCCTCCGCATTTGCAGTATTTTATATTCTCTTTGCAATTCCTGAGCCTGCTTCCTACTTACTTTTGTAAATCATCCATCCTATGTTAGAAATGAACAGAAACAGGCAAGTGAAGCAGGACTGAACTATTGGCTGTGTGATGAAAAGCAGAATTAAACCAGACTGGCCTACTGCAGATTTAAGCACCTCCCAAAGCCTTCAACTTATATCACAGCAAGTGTTGTTACTCGGCTAACTTCAGGGCTGAGGCATCAAGACCCTATTATTTCTGCTGAAAAGTAGTACTGTAGATTTGAGCTCCTCTTTCTGAATTCCTTGTCCCCTTGCACGGAGCTTTGTGCCTGTGTCTGCAGGAGACACACCACTTTTCTGCCCATCTATTTTGAGCCTAAACTTGTCTCATGTTTAGGACAAAATATTGTTTTATCCAAGATGGTTTTCTTTAAACTAACCATGTGCCAATATGGATTTTTGCAGCAATTCCACCTCCAACAAACCTGAAGTTTACTCAGGTGACTCCCACCAGTCTTACTGTCAACTGGAATGCACCAAACGTTCGCCTCACTGGCTACCGAGTCAGAGTGAACCCCAAAGAAAAGACTGGTCCTATGAAAGAAATCAACCTTTCTCCAGACAGTACATCTGCTGTCGTGTCTGGATTAATGGTAACTCTTTTCTCTGTGTAAAGCAGACCATGTTGTGGGAAGATGTTAGGAAAACCTGAAGCTGATGGCTAGTCAGACTTTAACTATGTGTTACCATAGCTTTTAAAAGGCAAGGAGTTGGCCTGCTGAATCTGTATTCTTTTTCCTTCCTCATTGAGCACAGACTGGATGCCTTAATGAAATGGAAATTATCAGGTTCACAATCAACAGTAACCCAGTAAAAAACTTTTACTCATCTTTCACAAAAGAGGTCAGATAAGCTGATCTAATGCAGAGGTTTTCAAGCTGTGATATGGGAGCTCTGACAGTCTTTTGCCTATTTTTAAGACATCTGTAAAATATAAGTACAAAATGCAAGTCTTTTGTGAGTAGGCTTAAATTTGCTATATAGCCATCTTCTCCACTGGAAACACTCCAGAAGTTCCTGAACTGGAAAAAGCTGAAAATCACTGCTTTTATGGTTCCTGCTATCTTAAAAAGCTGTTTTTAAGGAGTTTTATGAATCATTTTCAAAAATGAACCTTAAAAAAATATTCTTCTCTAAGTGGACTCCTGGTCTGATGCAGGCAAGGATGAAATACCATGTTATAACTTCCACCATTCTTTTCACAGCGAGAACACCTTATCATAGCAAATGGCATCCATTAACCCCAGGATAAACAGGAGGTAAAGTAGGTTTTTCCAGAGAATCAGCTTTGAAGCACTGATTCCAAAATGAGAGATGACAAATAAGCTTCTTCCAGGATTTCATCTGCTCCTGTGTGTGCATATGTGCACTACTGGTGTTATCAACAAGGCCCATGTCTACTCTTTTTTACATCTGTAATTAGAATTATGCCATCAATCCTTCACTGATTTCAACTATTTTAAGGTTTCACATTTCAGTGACTGGTGATTGAGAAATGTGACTCTGACAAACTCTGAATGAGGGCAGGAGTATTTCCTGCTGTGCCAGCTCCTTCTGATAACATGGTGTAATTGTCCATTCTAGGTAGCAACCAAGTATGAAGTGAGTGTGTATGCCCTGAAGGACTCTCTGACCAGCCGACCAGCCCAAGGGGTGGTCACCACTCTTGAAAGTAAGTAATGATCCTTTCACAAATGACCAGTTGGTACTGTGCTGGGTGCAGAGGCTGAGGTCCTACTGTGTCAGAAGTAGGGCTCTGTACAAAGCTCCAGCAAAGGCTTTCACAAACACCTGGTGAGATTCAGAGTCCCCCATGTACTGAGAGGAGACTTTTTCCTTCTGGTGCAGATGTTAGTCCCCCTCGCAGGGCTCGTGTGACAGATGCTACTGAGACAACCATCACCATAACCTGGAGAACCAAGACTGAGACCATCACTGGCTTCCAAATTGATGCTGTCCCAGTGAGCGGGCAGAACCCCATTCAAAGGACCATCAGCCCTGATGTTAGGACTTACACTATTACTGGTAAGTGAGTAGCTTCTGCAGGTACAGGTGCATATCAGGAGGTACACTGAGTTCTTCCTCAGATTACTAACATTTATGTTTCAACTTCATTTTAGGCTTACAGCCTGGCAATGACTACAAGATCTACCTTTACACTCTGAATGAGAATGCACGCAGTTCCCCAGTAGTGATTGATGCCTCCACTGGTAAGGAACTTGTCTGACTTTTCTGCTTATGCTAGCACATTGTAATCACATATGTTCAGTTGGTTTTCTATATCTGACCCCATATAATACTTTTACTGCGACTTGCAGCAATAGGTTTTACTCCCAAGTTTGAGAAGGGTGTCAAGAAGATGAAGTTCAGGTGAAGAATATGCTTGGCCTTTACTGTGTTTGACTTGTGTCCTTTTGTTTTCACCTAGCTATTGATGCTCCTTCTAACCTGCGCTTCCTTACAACCACAAGCAACTCCCTCCTGGCTACCTGGCAGCCTCCAAGAGCCAAGATCACAGGCTACATCATCAGATATGAGAAACCTGGCTCACCAGCCAAAGAGGTTCTGCCTCGCCCTCGGCCTGGCACTACTGAGGCTACTATTACTGGTACCTGTCTCTGTCTTGCATGGGAGCTCTTCATCTGAAATGTTTAAATTTGAAGGGAGAGGGGGAAGGCCTAATCATAAAACGTGTTGATGGTCACCTAAGAGAAAGACAAAGTTTTGCCCCTTCATTGTGGTTTCTAATGATAGACAGTGGTTTTATAAGGATACTTGTCCTACTAACATGATACACTTAACTGAGCAGATCAACCATCAGGTTAGAACAATTCACAGGTGTTTGTTCCCACTGTCACGGCAACTATCATCAATTCAAGGAAAAAGCCCTTGACCCTGGCACCCTATCGGTCACATGTTGTGAAGTTTCATTACGCTTTGTGTCTGCAGCACCCATGATCCCAGCTGACATAGTCAGATTTGAAACTTGCTCCTAGGAGCAGGAGGTTGGACTCTTTATACTGTCCTGAAAACCTCAGATCCAAAATACCCATACTGTAGCCCTACCGACCTCCCTTTCTACCCTAGATCCCACATATAATCATTAAAGAAAAGCAGCTCTTAAATTTCAGATTGCTTTATGTCCTTCCTCCTTCCCTAGGTTTGGAACCAGGAACTGAATACATCATTTACATCATTGCTGTGAAGAACAATCAAAAGAGTGAACCACTGGTTGGCAGGAAAAGAACAGGTAAAACAAAGCTCTGGAATGCTGTGTGCCAACAGGAGATGATGTCTTCTACTTGCAGAATGTAATCTCAGGGCTGAAATAATAATGTTATATAAATATTCTGTTCACACCATTCAGCCACACTTTTTTTATGAGTCAAATAGGCTTTGTAGGGAGGTTTTCCTTTTTAGAATGCAGGAGGTAAGATTCTGAAGTTACTTTAATCACATTTAACTGTGTTTGAACCCCAAGAACAAAACAATATGCTTGGTGCTTGATTCCTGCCTGGTTACCTAACTACGAATTGAATTAGGATTAACAAACACATTACTATCCAGCACATGGTGGCCTCAAGGGCAGGATACTTTAATTTGTTCCCCATTGTATTTCTCTTACTGTAAAACCTCCACAATGCAAGTGCAGTTTCTTACTACACACCTTCAACAAGTAAGCTGTGGATATCTCTTGTAATCATTTCTTCTTAATTTGATCAGTGGTGGCTTCTTCATGTAGCAGTGTTCAAAACTGTTGCTCAGCTGTATAAAAACTTTATACCAACACACTTCTTATGCCTATGTATTAAGGATATACATGTATATAAATATATCTAGAGATGGAAATGTCCTTCACAATCACAACGAGGTCACACAAAGTGTTTTGTATTTTGGGATGATTGCTAATCTCTGATGCTTGGAGCAGTGTACAGCCTCCACTCTAGCTGTTTAATTTACCATTTTTAATGTTTTGCTTTATGGCTTCTCACCTCCTTTTTGGCTAGATGAGCTTCCCACATTGATTACCAGACCTCACCCCAACCAACCTGACATTCTGGACGTACCTTCCATCGATGAGGGCACCCCTTACCTCACCAACAATAGGTATGACAATGGAAACGGTATCCAACTCCCAGGCACCTCTGGGCACCCACAGACAATAGGACACCAGGGCCAACAAGTCTTCTTTGAGGAACATGGCTACAGACGGCCTGTACCCACTACAGCAACACCCCTAAGGCCGGGGTCAAGGCGGCAACCACCAAATGTAGATGAAGCAATTGAAATCCCTGGGTACCAAGTGCCCATCATAGTTGAACCTTCATACCCCCACCCCCATGGGCCCCGGCGCAACGACACCACAGGAGAAGAAGCTCTTTCTCAAACAACCATCTCTTGGAGGCCGTTGCTGGAGAGTTCTGAATACATCATCTCATGTCAGCCAGTCAGCCAGGATGAGGATACTCTGCAGGTAACTGAACTCTCCTGGCACAGGAATGGTGTTGGCCTCACCTGTGGTACCAGGCATCTCTTGGGAGTCCAGTCCCTTTGCTGTGTTAAGGGAGTGGCAGTGAGAGTTAGCTTCAAGAGTCTTTTTAACACGTAACTGAAACAAGGCAGGGTAAATGCCTCCCTCCTCTCCATGGTGAAGGCTACAGGATAAAACTGATAAACCAGAAAGTCCCAGGGAAAGGGACAGTCAGGGAGGTGGTTGGGGGTTTCAAAGACAGATGCTGCTTCCCTGAAGACTCTTTTAGCCCTTACCCTTTGTCTCCCTTGGTTTCTGTTTCCCTTAAATGGTGGTAATGACATATACCTCATGGGCTCCATCAGATGCAGAGCATAGAAGTCAACCTAAACACCTACGTCTTTACTACTTACCTAGGGAGTAATCACTCTTTCTGGTGACTTGGCATTGCCTCTTGTTGCAGTTCAGGGTTCCGGGCACTTCTTCTAGTGCTACGCTCACTGGTCTTACAAGAGGGGCCACCTACAACATCATAGTGGAAGCCCTGAAAGATCACCGTAGACAAAAGGTGCTGGAGGAGGTGGTCACAGTTGGCAATACTGGTAAGTAAAAGCCTTATGGAGTCCCAGTGAACCTGTGCTGCCCTTGCCTCATTTCTCTTACTCAAGGCAACCTACCTGGTGCCCAGGCTTGGGAGCAGTTCAGAAAGGAAGCTTCTCCTGACAAAGGAGAGGTCATAGCAGGACATCAGGACAAATGATTTGTGGGTTCCATTGATGTTGGATAACTGGCCCACTGACTGTATGACTAGAGCTATTCTGATCTGCTGTCTAATCATGAAAAACGTGTTTTAAGGCACCATACACTCCTCCTCTAGGATCAGTGCCAAGGAGAAAGCAAGAGATCTGGTGTTTGCTGCTTGCAGAGGAGGTCAGGGATCATGCTGGTGTTGCACATTCCTGTCCAGTAGCAAAGGTCTGCTGTCCAAATATCACATCATGCTTATGTGAAGGTGCTGGTGGTCAGCTTAACTGCTCTGTCAGTCACTTGCCACTGCTGCTGTGTTAGCTATCCAGCAGCACCACTAGCCCATTGGGAAGGTCTGGCAGCAGGGCAGGCTGCCTGCCGAGATGCTGATCATGCACAAACAAGCAGCACTTAGAAGCCATGTGACCAACCACAAAGTACTTGTGGTCTCAGACAGCACTTGCCGCAGATGGAGAGCCCAGAGCCCACACACACCCTGTGGGACCTGGGCTTTGCCTTTAGCAGCACAGGGGTCTAGCCTGGTCTGGTCTGGTCAACAACTGGCTCTCCCTCCAGATGCTCCTGTGTGTATTTTGAGGTCAAAAAGGAAGAAGAGGACAGGATGGGAGAAGAGGAAATGAAGAGTTAAGGATTTATTTGTCCATCCATTACGCTGCTCCACGCAGCCTCACTGGGAAATCAGGCTGTTTCTCCCCTTGCAGCACCCAGTTGCCTTATGTCTGTCACAGACTGAACCGTGAGCATTAGCCTCAACCTTGATCATCACACACTGAGCTGTTGGTGTGAAACACCCACCTTTCAATCAAGGCACATACCTAAGGTGTAAATCAGTCTGTCCTGATTTCCACCTTGGTTTGGTCTCCTCCTCCTGTCCCCCTGCCATGAGCTAGAGTCTGAAGTGCCTCAAAAATGTGCACGTGCAGCTCTCAAGCTCCTGCTGTTCCCCAGCATCTCACAGCATGCTTCTCTCAAAACCAGGCTAAGTTGGGTTGTTGCTCTCCAGCAGCAAATGCAGAAACTCACACTTGCTTAAAACTTGGCAAATCAAAATGAAAATAGCCTCCATGTCAGCTTTTTTTAGCATTCAATCTCTCTGACACATGCAAATGGAAAATAAATCATAGGGAGTCTGGGCTGCTGACAGAATCATCAATATGCCCATGGGGGAGCTCTGTTACTGCCAGGATATTATAAGAGAAAAAAAGCCACATGTATTCAGTGAAAATCATTCTGTCTTTCAGTAGTTCCTATTGCTGTGTGTGATGCCTGTTTCCTCTCTTTCTGTTCCAGTGTCTGAAGGACTAAACCAGCCAGCTGACGACACCTGCTTTGATACTTACACTGGCTCCTTCTATTCCATTGGCGAGGAATGGGAGCGGTTATCTGAAACTGGCTTTAAGCTCTGGTGCCAATGTTTAGGCTTTGGCAGCGGCCATTTCAGATGCGACTCTTCTAGTGAGTAGCTTGCTTTTGACCATCCCTCTCTCCAAGCTCCCTGAGTACTAATGACATGTTTGATGGAGCCAGCCTGATCCAAACATGATGCAGATGGGTGCGAGCTCTAAGTTTTGAAACCGAAGCAGTGTTTTGCATCACGAGAAGTGATGGAAAACTGGGGTTGTTCCTGAGCTGTGCAGCTTAGCTAGTAGTGCCACTTACTGCCTCATGAATGAGCAATGCTGTATTGATACATAATGACTTGTTCACCGAAGGGAAATGTTTTATTTTCCCTACCCTTGTCAGTCACATCTAGGTAATGGGTAAGAGTCAGATAGGCAAGAGGCCTAAGTGCCAGTGAAGAAGATGGCTTTGAATAGTAGATTATGGTTGAATCTGTATGTCTTAAATATAAACATGGTTGTCATGGGCCAGACAGAACTTGTGTGGATTTCAGTGGGTATTACAGAAAGTCCCCATGCTGTTTTGCAAAGCAAAAGCAACTTGTGGAAGCAGCTGTGTTCTTGCCATGGCAGGAGGGTTGGGCCAGATGATCTCCAGAGGTCCCTTCCAATCCTGATGATATGGTGATTTTCTCAGCAGCTCTTTGAAGCTCTGCTAAGCTCTGCAGGCACCACCTTGGCTGGGGCACTAAGATTTATTTTTGCAGGACTGGGTTTTACTTGGAATAATCTCAAATTTCATGAAAGGGGATGGAAGAAAAGCCTGTGATTGAGTGGTTTAACACAACACATACCCAGCTAATTTAAATTTTAGAGTAAGCTCAGCATAGAGGGCATTTCTACAGTTTGCATGGCCTCAGAGGAGTGACTGCAGGGAAGACTTTTGTTCTACAGGATTCATTTTTATAATTCATTGTTTGAGACACATGGTTTACCCATTGTTTTGCAGTCTCTGTGATACAGTTTTACCAGGTATTTGCTCCAAAAGAGCATTTGAAATATTTCTCTCTCCCTTCTTTCTCCATGTCTATTAAATTCCCTTTCCTTTCTCTTCCTTTCCTGTTATCCAGCACTCCTTTCCCTGTCCCCAGTCTTTGTCACATCCTACTTTTTTCCTAAGAGCCTCCAGTCATTTCCTAGAGCTGTAATAGTCTTCAGCAGTTGAAAGCTGCAAAAGCTGAACCCATTTCCAGCAGGAACTCACTTCATCCTTGGGACGTGGACAAGCTGAAAAGATCCTTTCTCCTGACTCTCTGTTGGTTGCTGGGTCACCAAAGTGTTCTGCTGCTGGGTCGCCTCAATGTGTGAGATAATTCCTGCTTCTCTTGTTCCTCTGCCTTCTTCAGAGTGGTGCCATGATAATGGTGTGAACTACAAGATTGGGGAGAAGTGGGACCGGCAGGGAGAGAACGGGCAGATGATGAGCTGCACTTGCCTTGGAAATGGGAAAGGAGAATTCAAGTGTGAACCTCGTAAGTCCCCTTCTGATGTTAATCTGAGCTCCTATTCAGGAAATCTCAGCACCTCAGGACCCTTCCCATTAACTTTTGGTCCTGCCATGGGCGCAAGCAGGGTATCGGGGTGTCTGATCCAGGTTTTGGAGGCTGAATCTGTGACAGATTGAATCTGTTCTCACAAGGGCTGAAGGTGTAAAAGTCACATTGCCAAACTTGACAAGAAGAAAACTCTCTGTTGTTAGCTAAGATCACAGCACACTCAGCATCTGGCTGCCTGTGGCCCTGGAGCTACCCAAGAGGGACATGTAACTGCACCAAGGGTTGTAGATTACCCTAATCAGTAACACAGGACTTTCCTGCAGGGCTTGTCACCTGAATGTCCTCTGACTTCACACTCTGAATTAAACTGTATTGCTCTTGTCAGGCAAATGCCCTCATGCTCTAGTTTGAAGTGTCTGGAGAGCTATAAAAATGACTGATGTTCTCCCTGCCAGTCAGTGAGCATCTGTTCAGACAGGAGCCAGAGGCTCCTGTTCTCAGCACCAACCTGCTCTGAGGCTGCTTGGAGCCAAGGCCAGGCCGTGCAGCTGAGCTCTGCCCATTCCTTCACAGATGAGACCACATGCTATGATGATGGGAAGATGTACCAAGTTGGAGAGCAGTGGCAGAAGGAGTACTTTGGGGCCATCTGTTCCTGCACTTGTTATGGAGGACAGCAGGTAAGCAGGAGGGACGTGGCACGCTGAACACAGGGGGTGAAGAGAGGAGGCTGTACTGAGGTCAGTCCTAAGACTGCTGGGTTTCAGGTCAGATGGTGCCTGATGCCTGGCCAAAACAGGCCTCTATAAGAGAAAAAATGACTAGCAGGAGAGCTTAAATCTTCCATCAGGGCCTGTGCAAGGTAAAATGGGAGCAGCCTCTGTGGTGTTGGTGTGAATACTGGCAGCTCCTTGGCTGCCTGCCTCAGCGTGGTCTGACCAGTGCACATGTTGTTGTGGTTCCCCAGGGCTGGCGTTGTGACAACTGCCGCAGACCCAGTGTGGAGGTGGCCCCTGAAGGCTCTGCTGGGCACACCTATACACAGTTTACACAGAGATACCACCAGGCCACAAACACCGTGAGTAGTTTCCTTCTCTGCATGGGGTGTGTACAGGGCTTGAGAGTGAGAGTAGCGTGCAGCACTCTGCTTGGTCACAAGTGCATGGTCCAGCCACTGATCCAGCAAACTGTTACTGAGCTTACCCTTCCACATGTGGTGTTGGGTGCCACACTCACATCAGTAGTTAGTCAGTTCTTGGTTAGTTCTGGGGTATTCCTGCATGCTCTGGCTGAGGTGGTGGTGCATGTAGTGATTTCCTAGTCTTCACTTGCTGCTCTAAACCAGCTTGTGTGCTTTGTGCTGAGGAAGCCTAAGTGCTGGCAGCAATCCTCAGCCCAAACCACAGCATGGAAGTGTCCGTCCTTACAGGACAGAGCACTAACTGATTTCCTTCCCTCCTGACAGAACGTCAACTGCCCCATTGAGTGTTTCATGCCCTTAGATGTACAGGCAGACACACAACATCCGCGGGGAAAGTAACATCCAGCAAGACCTCTTGCAGCAATGACAACAGACAAACCAAAGTCTAAATCCCTGTCTGCCAGGATTACCACCAAACTGGAGTGATGCTAAAGCAAAACTGCAGCTTTGGAGAATGGCCAAATGCTCTGGAGCCATTGTCCCAGCTTAAGCTCAACTCACAGCTTCTCCAAGCGCCACTCTTGGAGTGTTTCAGACTTTTCTCATGATTGATAGCAATTGTCTTGGTTTTACTCAAAGTGTTGAATACCAGTCAGTATTTTCAAATTTAAAGGAAATAAAAGGGGGTGATGCTAAATCACAAATTAGGGGGGGATCAAAAGATTAAGGGAAAGGGGAGGGTGTAGAAATTCAAGGTTCCCCTGCTATGCAAAGAATATTTGAGTACAACATCACTGAAGTTTAGAGATAGGAAAGTCCATCAAACACTTCTGCTTTCACATAAGCGTGCAGCCAGCAATAAGATAGGAACAGCAAATCCAGTCACTGTGATATTTAAAATATGCACAGTCCTCATTCTTTCTCCATGATCCTAGTATTTTTCTAGCTGTATCTTTGTATCTCATACTGTTATTTATCAGTTTTGTTCCCCTGACCTTCAAGTGTTTTTATATGGGAATGAAATGTATTGAAGACACTTAGTATGCAGTTGACAAAGAGGAATTTGGTGTAATTATGATCAGTGATTATTTTTATACTGTAAGTGCCAAAGCTTTACTACTGTGGAAAAGAATAAAAAACAACTCTTTTAATAAAAAGATTTACAAACCAGGCATGCAATTTAAGCGCTTCTCTTTGCTACTACCATGGAATCTAGGATGAAGATTATTATTCTGAGCTGGAGTAACATTGCCTTGAAACAAGATGGAACAAACATCTCAGTGAAGCGTGGAGTAAACCTCAAGAGAATACTTGTAGAGCAGTTTGCTAATTGCAGACTTCCACCTGCACCCCCTGCCCCAGTAGAGCCACTGTATGTATGTATGTATATGTGCCATGCTGCTGGAGGCAGGGGCTTGCTTGCTTTATGGGAATAGGTGAGGAAGTGGAAGGGGAAAGGAAGTATTCCCTGCTTTGAACAGGAACAGAGGTAGCAATGGCCTTCAGTCCAGCTAGACACTTAAATATCTATCATCAAATATGCTTTCGGTGAGGTTGAGTTGCCGAAATGAAAGAGGCCATCCACACCTGTGAAGTCAGAAAAGTTCAAAGATTCACTGTCTGTGGCCCCAATGACTCCCACCCAGGTCCAAATTGATCCTGGGTCTCTGAGACCCTGCTCCATGCCTCACCCCAGAGGAGGCCACAGTTCACCCCTCTCTGCAATGAAGCATCTCTTCCCCATGACCACCTAAAGGGTTTGCCTTCCTTCAGCTCTCAGCTATTCCATCTCCATTTGACCACAAGGAATTCAAATGCCCGAATCCAGAACTGAGGCTGTTGGAGCAGTAAGCACGCCCTTGGGCACTGCTGCCACAGCAGCCTACGTATCCTTCATCCTGCCCTTACCTCTCCAGAAAATAAGAGGGGAACAGAAAGCGCATGGGTCTATCCTGGCTTTCAAGTCTGCTGTGCTGCTGCCTCATGGGGTGGGGAGGGGGGTATTGGAACTCTCCTCAAAAGCTTTGTTTAAACTGAAGCCAGTCTTGATTTTACTGAACAAAGTTTGCCATAAATCGCTCGTGCTGCCAACGCTGCAAAACCTGTACAGCATCTGCAAGGACAGGACAAGAAAGGTTCTGTCATGATCCCTCGGGCCACATCCCTCTCTCAGCTGCACAAGTACTGTATTGCTCAAGTCAATGGATTTCTCTGGGTTGAATAAAGCATAGCATGAAAATAGAATCTGGCTTCTTAACACACATGGCAGATATTTTCAGAGGTTGCTATCTATAGAGCAACCAAAACATTTGCAAACAGTGAATGCAGCAGAAATCAGTTCTGTCCCACCAGCATTCAAGAGCCAAATGGGTGTTAAAAATTCACAAGAACTAAAACTGGCGTAGACAGACACACAGAATACTTTCCTTTTAAAGCACATTTCTATACGCACAGTACATCTCATGTCACATCACTTGTGACAGCAGCACTCCCCTCCCTGCAGTGAGCATTACGAGATAAATGTATTTAAACACTGCATTTGCCTCAGGTCCCTCTAAAGGTTTGTTTGGGCCTTAAATCATGAGGGTTTGCATCTCTGAGAACATCCGTTTAACATGTACCAGGGCTGGGTGTTGGGTCAGCCACGTAAATCATCTATTTTCAGTTACATTTTACTGTAAGTTACATTCACAGGGTGCCCAAAGAAGTTGTGGCTGCCCCATCCCTGGTAATGTTCAAGGCCAGGTTGGAGGGGGCTTGGAGCAACCTCGTCTAGTGGAAGGTGTCTGGGCCAGTGGCACAGGCTTGGAACTGGATGAGCTTTAAGGTCCCTCCCAACTGAAACCAGTCTGGGATTCGAAACCCACCAGCAGAGCACAGCACAGGGGCAGTGGAAAGGTGAGATCCAAGGTACCAACCACACACCTTCCCTTTTAGAAAGAACCAAAAGGAACCAAAGCTTCTGAAGATTCCCATGCTTCACCCAGGCTGCAGCACAAAGTGGCAACAGAACAGTAGCTGGGCCTTAAAAACACCATTTATGTCAATGGTCGCCTTGAGCACTCAGAGCAACTGATGTTGTCCAACCAAAGCTACTTTTAAGGCTGGGGCAGCTGCCCCTGTTAGCAGGGAGCCTTCAGATGTCCTGAGCTCTCAATCCAGGTGCTCACAGCTATGCCAAGCCCAGTGGCATTTAAACCCTTTTTCTGCAGAGGCACATCTCCACATGGTTTGTCCTCTCAGCTAACTCCAAGCTCCAGTCAGAGCACAGGAGCAACCAGAGTCAGGACTCTACTGCAGGGAAGAGGCCCTTGGTAGCTGAAGGGGAAGAAAAAAGGAAAGAAGATATCTGGTACTGACTGAAAACGTGGAGAATGGCTCCTCCTGCTCTGCTTTTGCTTCCCCCCTTTGGGAGCTATTGCTCTGCCAGCACGAGACCTGCTGGGATCAAGGCACCACACAGTGCAAAGCAGAGCCTGTCAGCAGCCAGTTCTTCAAAAAACATCAACCAAAGCAGCAGAACTATCCCCTCCTTGAGAAGAGACATGGCCTTTCCTATGGAAAACACATACTAAGCAGAGCTGCCTTTAATCATTGCAGATATCAAAGGGAGAAGTAATTCACTCAACTAGCAGGAGCTCAACATACCTCATGAGGAGCCCTTCTGGACTAGCACAGCCTGCTCTTACAAAGAGCTGTGCGAGGGGAAGGCGCACAGCTCTTCAGCCCAGCTGTCAGCAGGGACTTGCTACCAGCAGGGACTGGATCCCCCCTTCAGGGCATCTCTCAGCAGCTTGGAAACAGCAGCTCCCGCCCTGACCTTACAGAGCAGCAGCCGAAGCCCTTGTTTTCAGACCTGCATCCTAGGTTTGCTAGCATCTTCTACAGAAAGCTCACCTGGAAGATCAGTGTCCATTAACTTCCATTAACAGCGCACCAAGGACAGCAAACAAAAGGTATATTACGAGCAGGAACACAGAATTTGCCAGGTGCTTATTACCAGCCTCTATTTTAGCCAACACTCTACATGATGCAGATGAAGAATGAGCTAAAAGCTTCTGAGAGAACCTCATAGCATCTATGTACCAGCTACAGTCAGAACAGTATGGCAGAAAAGACATCAGGAATAGCACAACAGTGGAGGAAAGTGTCTGAAACCCAACTTTTGAAGTATAATAAAACCAGGGAAGACTAAAAACACTGACAATCCATGGGAAGCAACAGCACAGAAAGCAGTCAGGGCCAGGGCTTGGGGTAACACAGACAACAGGCAAGCCATAAGCAGTGGACTGTTTCTACTCTGGACTGTCTTCATCTGAGCCCCCAAAGGAGAATCCTCTCTCCCCTGTCCTGCCTAATCCAGCCACTTGGAAATAAGCCACTTTAGAGACCAGAAAAGAGAGAAAACTGCTCTCTTCAGCCAGAGCAAGGGCACACAGAATTCCTAGGCAGTACCCAGTGCCTCTGACACAAGGAGGGTGACGGGCACACACATACATACAGCACATGGAATGACAGCATTAAAAGGAAAACCAGCGCGTGGAAAGGAAAACCAGGTGCACAAGGGGCAGGGCTGCACTCGGTGCTCCGTGGTGGAGGTCCTCCAGCAGGTGGCTGGGTGTGGGATGCTATTAATAGGCTACAAGATGTCAGAGTAGCTGAGAGGAAGCAGGAATGCTTGCTCCTGGCCCAAACTGTGCCGGGGCCCCAAGCATCCCCTCTAGCTCATGGAGGAAAGAAGGAGGCCGTTAACCTGGGAAGATGGGAATTAGTGACACATAAAAAAAAAAAAAAAAAAAAAAAGGAGGAAAAGGACAATCAAAACCAAGGGGCTTCCTCCTAAATCGGTTGTTCCTGCCCAGAACCACTTTGCTGTCCTGCAGAGGGCTGATGAGGAAACATACTCACACCAGAAACACCTGGCTGATGCACTGGTAAAGAAGATCTCTACTGGTGCTGCCAGGAAAAAGAGGCAGGTCATAGTGGCAGGGGACTCTACTTTGAAAGGGACAGAAGCATTCATCTGTCGGCCTGACCCGGTCTCAAGGGAGGTGTGTTGCCTACCAGGGGCACGGTTCAGGAATGTTGCAGAGAGGCTGCCTGCTCTAGTAAGTCCCACAGACTATTAGCCACTTCTAGTGATCCATGTAGGCGCTAGGGATATAGACAGCAGCAGCCTGGAGAACATAAAGAAGGACTACAGAGCCCTGGGAGCAGTGGTTAGGGGCTCTGGAGCTCAGATAGTCTTTTAGTTAATTCTCCAGGATACAGGGGAAGACCTAAAAAAAGCTAGAAGGATTGGCCAGGTTAATAAATGGTTAAAAGAGTGGTGTCATAGTCAGGGGTTTGGGTGTCTTGAACACGGGACCCAAGTTTGGAGGCCAGGTCTAGTGGGGGCTGGTGGAGCTGGTGTGATAAAGAAGGGAAAGAGCAGTTTTGGTAGGAGGCTTCCCAGACTTGTCAAGGAGGCTTTAAACTAGATGTGTTGGGGGAGGAGTGGCATCATTCCATCCCAACACACCCAGTCAGTTGCCAGCACCTATAATAAATGCTTGGAGCACTGTAGAGATATCCCAGGCACTCCAGCCAATGAGCCGGCTTCATTTGGAGCTCAGCTCAGATGCCTCTATACAAATGCCCGTAGCATAGGGAACAAACGAGAGATGTGTGCACGTCTATGGGGGTATGATATAATAGGCACTGCAGAAACATGGTGGGATGGCTCCTATGACTGGAGTGTTGGAATGGAAGGTTACAGGCTATTTAGAAAAGACAGGCCTGGCAGGCGGGGAGGGGGAGTTGTCCTTTATGTTAGGGATAGGCTGGAGAGTATGGAACTCTGTCTGGGGACAGGTGAGCAGTCAACAGAGAGTTTGTGGGTCAGGGTTAAAGGGAGAACAGTGATGGGAGACATTACTGTGGGGATCTGTTACAGACCGCCTGATCAAGGAGAACCTGCAGATGAAGCACTCTATAGACAGATAGGAAAAGCCTCACGCTCACAGGCCCTTGTTCTCATGGGTGACTTCAACCACCCTGACATCTGTTGGAAGGACGGTACAGCCCGGCACAAGCAATCCAGGAGGTTCCTTCATTGTGTGGAAGACAACTTCCTTCTGCAAGTAACAGAGGATCTGACAAGGAGAGGTGCCGTGCTTGACCTCGTGCTC